AGCTTGCTATAGCATACAAGCACAGGACAGGTAGCTTGCTATAGCATACAAGCACAGGACAGGTAGTGCTATAGTATAAGACAGTTACGAGTTGGGAAGTCAGACCAGTGGCGCACCCAGGGGAGGGCTCAGCTCCCCCCGTTTTGATTTTTTTCTTTCTGAAAAACGGAGATACCATATATACATCTATCATAACCTACTTGTTCGGATATAGCCGTTCACTGTTGCACAACGGGAGAGGGGGCTTGAGTATCATTGGTTATTTTGCTGAGTAAAGCCTGGTCCGAGCCCCCCCCCGCCAACTAATCCCGAGTGCGTCACTGTGCCACACCATCACCGCACACTACAATTGATTTAGGATCTACACTTTCACGATTTTTTCCAGGTTGTTTGCTCTTTAATTTATTTTTCTCATGGCGATTTCAATAACGATCTTGCTCCGGTCATTGTGCCACAATGTAATAACAGAGGCCAGATTAAACAATTTTCACGTTGACATCACCTCGTGTATTTATTGCGCTGTTGCTTATCAGAGGGGCTAGATGTGAATTGTATAGCGTTCAATCACATCCCTTCGTGAAGTAGAACACTTCAAGCGATGTTCACAGTGATTTCAAGAAATAGGCCTACTCGACACGAGAGGCAATTAAATGTAACATAACTGAACCGCAGAGAAAATACCTGCTGGAATGTTTCTGAAGATCGAAGAACGAGAAATAGTGGCACATTGAAGCCTTCCCCGACCCAGTCACTGGAATTTAAATGCATTTTCACGTTCTTGTAGTGACGGAATTTGAGAATTGAGTTGTCCAAGCGTGGTCCATTTCAAGAATTCTGGAACTCAAATTAGACGTGCTAATTTTTAAATTTGCGTCATTCACATTTTAAGAACCACCTTTGTCGTTTTATTTCACCATACCGACTTGGTAGAAAAGCAATGAAGCTTTTTATTAGCATTTTCATTTACGGAAAATTAATTTGCCACCGCAGGGATTAGAAAAGTATGAGAAAGACGTGATGCCAATAACAGTTCAACCAAAAAAGAAAAAAATGTTCGCTTGCATCAATTTTTATACTTTCCTAAATCCATTGTCTCCGTAAGATGCTATTAAATTTCTACCAGTTCAACATCTACATTGTGTATGTATTCTGGGTTTTTTTCAGGTGCTACTAATAATTATAAAGCTTTCATGTTTCCCTCTTTTGTGAAAATAGTACAATTTTGGTTTAACATCGTTTTCAAGCAGTCATGTTTTTATGAACTAAAGGCAGTTTTAAGCTCAAAAGTGGAAGTGCATTTGAATTCCATTTGACAAAACGTGTCACAAAATATTCCCTCAATGGAACGTGCATGGCTATATATATAAACTCCCAATGTTGAAACACTGGGACTATTTGAATACATTTTGCACATAAACTGAATTGAAATTCAACTTTTCAATTTGTGCATTATCGTATTTCCATGCTCCTAACTTATTTTGAATGGTTTCAAGCATAGACATTGAATTATAAAGGGCAGATGTCACCGAATCTATTGCACTTGACGAAGCAATCTATCTCCTGTCGTCGTTCACATTCAAATTAAATTCAGAACATGGCATATTTTATTAAACGTCTCTATTCGATAGGTTAAATTGCCTCAGGAAATTTGCATTTCAATGGTATATGTTTGTTCATATTTAGATCAATTTACACAGAACTCCCGCAAATTACGGACTAGTTTGTTGACAGTACAAAAGAATTTGACCTTGGGTGGAGATCTTGGCAATTTAAATATTTTGGACAGAAATCTTTCCGCTTGGTCAAATGTTGTCGTCCATAGCAACAAAAATATTTGCCAGAATCCATGTGTGCTCTGTTATCCAATCTTGTATATTTATGCAGTGAGAATGTACTGTTTATTTTGCCTCCATGTAAATATCGTGTCAGTTGGATGCACCCGGTTGATATTTTAGCAGGTACGCAATTATTGGTTTGATTTTTATTGTTTATTCATAATTATAGGCCAAACAGCCAAATTCACGTTCTGCGGTTCTGTATGTTCTCTTTGTCTCGAACCGTTGAAAACAGTGAGTGCGTAAAGTCAGAATAAATTATTTTTAATGCGATGGTGTCTCGCTTAATGAAAGAGTTCCATTGCCAGGTGATAGTTTACTTCCTGACATCCATAAAATACATGTACTTACTTGCTGTCGTAAATGCAGTACCTACTGCGATAATATTAAAATCGAAATGGTAAGCTTGCCTGAACATGGTCAGTGGTTGAGTGGTTAAGACGTCTGCACTAAGGAGGTAGAGGGTTGGATTTCGCACAAACCCTTAGAAAACCCTGTGTTTACATTGGTCAATTGCGTTAGGGAAGATCATAAACTAAAGATGATATAACATTGCAATGTCTTTACTTCAACTACAGCACCTTGTTCGCGTAGAGGAACAAAAATTGGAAGATTAGATTGTGGATTTTTTTCTGATATGACAAAAACGGTAAAGGAGGCTAACATGAAAGATGGATTTGATGAACAGGATAAAACATGCTTTTGTTTCGTAGGAAACCAGCTCTACCGTCACGAGTGAAAAAAATATACCTGATTGTATAAAGTTGTAAACATGGAGGCACAAAACCTGCTTACGAAAGTTTTGATTCGACTGATGACCAGACAGGGAGAAGACTAAGCCGAAATAACTCTTAAAAACAGAATGGTTAAAGATTGGTTATAATACTAAAGGATTCCAGCATACCAGAACCATGATGGTGATTCTAACCATAGAGCATCTGTTCCTTGCTCTATGTTCGAACAACCAGTGACGCCTATTACAAATTCAGTACATGTATCAACAATAGAATAGAATATATACATGGTTTTATTCGCTTGCCTTGCTGTTTATGTTTTTCTTGTTTAAGCTTTGAACTCACCTTAGGAGGTCTAACTCCGGGCATGGTCAGGTTGTATTCGAACCTCCCATTGTCATCAACATACGGTAGTCCTTCCTCGGGGACATCAGATGACGAGGAGGCATCGAAGTATTCTGGGTAGTCGCCGTAAAGGGCATAGTAGTAGTTAAGACCAGGATACAAACCACGAGCACTTACAGCTACAAGAACGACAAAAACAAGAGAAACACGGCCGAGAAAATAAGCGTCCGCCATTGTTGCCAGAACCAGAATTCCGTTAGTGTGCGAGGCTTTGCTATACAAGAGAGACGCAAGGTACATGTATGTTAAGCAGGTCGGTGCGTCACCCACCACGAGGGCAAGCTGGGCAGGTTCTTTTGTGGTAAGTGTGTCTGTATGTGGCACGCACGTAGTGATGTGCATCCGTGCTCTCTGCGTAAATTGCTCGCCGACGGTTCTCTTTCTCCGTGCTCCTATCGGTCGTAGCATCCGGGCATCGTCAGGATCCAACGTCAGCTGTTGCTATGGTTACAGTCGTTAATGAAGAGCCGAAGTGGGTCCTCAGCACACGATTGTTAATGGGGTGGTTGAGGGGTTCGCAGAATAGCTTAAGACCATCTAAGTGTTTTTAATTACTGTTTTATTTCTTCTTCTGTGTCCATTGATATCGCCACACTTCCTGAAGTCATCACGGGGGAGGTATACAAGTTTTTTTTGTGATTCTGGGAACGTCATCTTGTAATTTGAGTCCTGAAGCTACAAACCCGTGCTGTAATTGACTGGAACAAAAACAGAATGTGTCGCAAATAGCCTTTACTAGAACTGGCAAGCGTGGTTTTTCAACAGTCAGGGATTTGCCGGCGGTTCGGTGGTCAAAATATTTAGATGGGGGCGCTCCTACTTGACACTTGTCTTTGCTCTTGTTGTGACAACCTTTTTTTTTTCAATTTGAGGACGCGTGAATAGATGCTTCTTGTAATTGATTGTGCAAGCAACCATTCAATGTCCCGGGTAACAAAATTCCGCGACTGTATATTTGCCAATTTCGCAACTTCTTGGCGGGATTTTTTTCCGTTTTGAATAGTCTTCAAGAGCAAAAATATTGAATTGGTGAAAGGGAGAACAAAAATAAGGATAGTTAACAAAAAAAAGATTCGATATTCCCTCTAGGTACACGCAATCTTGCTTTAAACCAATCTTTACTCTCTTTAATTTCTCCGCCCACGTCTCCGGAACAGTTATCCTCATTATGGACACTGCACTGGCCTCATGTGCCTATTGCTTGGCAATCTACACATTATCGGTGCGAACGTTTCCGAGTTCTGCAAGTGCAGCCTCGGTTTAGCTCCAATACGCCTGTGGCAATCCTATGGAAATAGCGAACATTACACTTGTCACCTTGAAACAATAAAGACTGGACATTTTTTAATCATTCCTCTTCATTTCGAAGGGAGGGAATAATACCGTACACGCGTCTCTGATAACGACCACCAAACTTGTTCGGTTGCCTCCGGCAGCCTCAGTTTATTGTTAACTTTGTGGGTTCCCTCTGATACGGAAGAAGGTGTAAGCTCTGGGTTCCTTCTGTAATGTATGGAAGCAGTGGTCCAGTAAGTGGGATCAGTAGCCTTCGTCAGAACACATTATCAGTAATCAGTTGGGGTCAAGTTTGATCAGCAGTCATTGTCAACCAATGGTCGATTTTTAGCAGGTAAAATCCCAGTCCACCACTGAGTGGTTGACAAAGCGGTCGCTGATCGAGCTTGGCCTTTTAGTTGCAGCCAGTAAATAAACTGCCTTAGCCAACTGTGAAAAAAACCTGACCATCAAAATATCAGGAAAAATACTCAGGCATTTGAGACACACGTCAAATTAAAGTCCAGTTTATGCCTTTTATTTTCTTTTCAAATCTCCATTTATTAACCAATGACTTCAGAAAATATTTATTTCCACTGAGGGTCACCCCCTAAAATGCAGCCTTAAAGCCCCTCGCCATTTTGAAATATTGATGCCTACACTTCCCAAAAAAATAGACCGTTTTCAGGCACTGATTTCTTCCAAATCTCACTCTGAGACGCAAGCTGGTATTCTCGTTGCCTGCCTAAAGTTGCCTTTTCTACAGATCGCCAAGTTCATGGGCCACAAAATGCTCAGTTGAGAATTTGAGTGCATACAAATTGTGATTTGGCCCGCGCAAGCAGTTTTCGGCCTATTTACTGGCCTGCACACTTGTAGAAGTCGCCTACATCATGGAGTGCGCCCTCGTTATATCACACTCCCTGCACGGACACTATGGCTGAGTTCGGCTGTCCTCGTATGTTCATGAACCGCTTGATTTGTTGTTCGTTAGTCGGCCGCTCAAAAACCGGGAACGTACAACCAGTTATTGCTGGTTGTTGCATGCATCATGGCAACATCCATGTACGTTCTTTCAGAATAAACTTTGGAAAGCTGGGCTGAATTCTTTTCTATTTAAAAAGGAACATTTATTTCTTTACCATGGAAAAGATTATTGTTAATTTTGTAAAAGTTCCCATTGTCTCTGGCTTTGTGAGCTATCTTGATATCTTTTGCGGCTGTTCAAAAATAAAAATCTCATGAGTTTTTCCGTGTGTTCCTGCAAACCCTGACGAGGAGGTGGTGCGTGATCCTGTTCCGGGAACAGTGTTCTTGAGTCGTGTTCCCGCTGTTCGAGCGCGGGAACAAGAAACCCGTCTTGAGAACAGGCCGCCCGAACTCGACCTGTTGGTATGGATTGACTCAACGTGATGTAAAGCACGCCCTCTGTTGGCTGAGGGTACCGTTGTCCTGTTTGTTTCGATTAGCGAGCTTCAGTTTTACTTTAAAGGCGACGGTATCAAGAGAGTTGAAACCTAGAAAGGCCTGAAATTTTGGGAAAAGTCACCTGGAGACGGTTGAACTTCACCTACCGGGATCTTTCACTTCCGGCGATATCGTTCCCAAGTCTTTTTGTTCTGGCACGTGTAATTTCACTTCATGTGCTTACGTGAAAACGCGATATTCTGAAAGCCTGTTTGTTTCACATGGATCTGGATCCGGATCAGTGATCCTAACGCTGGTTCGCGCCATCCATTACGCGAGTTTTGGAATCCGTAAAGCAACGACGGATCACTGATCGTGATCCAGATCCGTGTGAAACAAACACGTGTACCCGTGTAATGGTGTACCCGCAAACCCATTTCTCATGTTTCATTCACCGTGCAAAGTTTCAAATCTTACTTATTATACATTTACGTCTAGGAACCAGACAAACCAGGTGGTCTTATGTCTTGTCTGCATGTTCAATCTACAAATGCCTTTAAATTGTAAAACGTGCTGGGCCAGTCTATTTTAATGTTGGTAGCGGCCGGGCCGGCATTACGTGTGCATGTAGTCGCGATGGACATTTGGCGTGATACGTTATCATTTCCAGAAAAAAAGTGAGGGTAAAACAAAGGTGCGTCGCCGCACTACTTTTGGAGCCAGCTCCTGACCAGAAACCGGAGTTTCATCCCCAACCATTTTTTTTATTTCACGAACTCGAGACCATGGTTTGCGCACGCACTATTGCGAACACTGACGCGTTGTGAAATAATGTTGGTTTTTACAAACTGACACGAAATCACGAAGCGGAGATGCCCTTGGTACAGAATTTATTATAAGGTAACGGAGACGATTTTCCGTTGGAGTCGAAATTGCACATAACACCACCCATTTCTTCGGCTTTGATATTACGAAGCTATGACGCCAATTGGTAGTCATGGCGACGTGATGTGCTCAATTTTCCCGCAACCGGTTTTTGGTCCAACCAACAGCCTTACAAAATGCACAACTCGTCCCCATCGGTAAAATTCGATTCTGAGTGCTAGTGGAACTATGACTGGGGAATCGTGCCCGGCACTGTTTTTCGGCAAAGCTTGCTTGCGATGTGCAGTTTGGCGGGAATGTTTCTTGTGCATCGTCACGGTCTGGCATTGTAAATCGTCTGATGCTGGACAAAGATTGATTGCTCACCGCTACCGAGCAATTTACTCTGCGGTTGCTGTGGTACCTGAGGTAGTTGATGACATTAGGAATACTTGGTACATGTCGTTGGGCCAGTGGAAGATACAACTCGACCATGATTTGCAACATGTTGAGATATCGCGATTTAACACACAATCCTTGAAAATACACGTTTGTGTACCAGTTAAAAATTTATTTGCCATTTATTTTAAATTGCCTTTTGTTTTTTATGCTCGTTACATTTGAATATTTTTACATTCCAGAATAGGCCCATGCACTTGTCGAATCAAGGTATAACCACCTATGCACGTTTCCTCTTCCAAAGCCGATTTTCCTGTCAGCGAGTGAAACAAGGCTACGGATTTCAGTGGGCAAGGGGACCCCCCAATCTCCGGCCATTTTCTTTTTTATTTCTTTTAGGAATGAAAGCGCCGTCATTTTAGAAACGGCACTGCCACCTTTTGGGATACTAATGAGGATTCGATAAAAAACAATGCCAGACGGAAGTCATTTTTTCCACATTGTTTTCCCCCAACCCAAGACCATTTCAGTTCCAGGGATTGCACCGTTGCCCCCCCCCCCACAAAAAAGGAAGAAGCAATACTGTCCAGTTTAAACATAAAATATCAATGGCCTAACTTACATGATTCTAAAGAGATACACTTTGCTTGATAATTTTAATTTCGTCTCATTTGCTTTTGGTTTTTATACAAGCAATCAAAATTGAGCCTGAGCTCTCCTCTCTATAGTCTAATCATTAGAGCTTATAACTGAAGTGAAATGGGCATCTAATCACCTTCAAAGAAAATGCAGAAAGTGCTGAGCACTCAAACATGTTGAGGAGTACTTAAAAGTGAAACAAATTCAATAGTCTAAAAGGTTTGTGTTGCAAGCTCAGTTTCTGGGCGTACGCAAATCATGAAGTAGACATGACGCCTTTACATCCACAAGGAAAAATCTTTCTAGCCAGCATTTGATATACATGTAATAGGAAAACTCATGACAGATTTTACTTAATTTAATGCTGAGCATACAGTGTTTATTAATATACGTTGGGTAAGGGCAAACCCGTTATATATAATTAACATCTCCCCAACGCAAAAAATACATCTTGAAAAAAAGAATTTAATGCTGTTTTCAAAAGTCACAAATTTTAATTACTTTGAATTGCTGATTACAGTGCTTTAAAATCTGACAGTGGCTTATCGGAGACGTTCCATTAATTAATAACCTAAGAAAGAGATAAAACCTCTCCCAAACAGTTTCAGAGGAAAGGAGTGTTTGCTGTGGCTCTTTGGCGGCACTTTGGCGTGTCCATTTCCAATGGGTAAAACTCATTCTCATCTTTCAAGGGTTCTTTACCGATGGCTCTAGAGCTGTTACGGTTTTATTTGTTTCTTCTGCACTGTGACATCTGTCATTGATAGTTGATCATACCACAACACTTTGGGAACTGTCATTTTTGAAAAAACAATGAGCAAGTAGCTGTCTGGCTGTGCGCCTCAGGCATCTGTTGCTGTACACGTGAGCCACGGGTAGGAAACAGGAAACAAACAGAAAGGCTATATTGCCAGGGAGCACCAGGTAGTTTGGTATGGGATAAAGGCAGGCTAGATCTGGAAGCAAATCCATAGCGAGGAAGAAAAGAGCGAAGAAAGTCAACATGACCCAGCGGGCGATATTCATCTTGAGTCGGCGGCTTATCATGACCGCGGCCCGGCTTGGATTCGGGTCAGCGCAGGCGTTGTTGTGTGACGGTATGTCGGCGATGATGCGACGCAGGTGTCGCCTGGCGATCAGGAGAAGGGAGCAGTGGGCAGCGTAGCCCAAGACTGCTGGAATCAACTTAACCACGAGGTAGGAGCACAGGAAAAGAGACCGTGTGATCTCGTTGCTGAAGTATGGCACGCAGGCGTGCCATGAGGACGTGTAAAAGCCGCGCCAATCCGACAGGAACCCACAGAACAGTGCACCGAGGAGGCCAATAACTGCCATGCCAGCAACAGCTCCTCGAGTCCGGCCAACAGTGACCACTACCGGATACCGGAGGGGGTGCGCTACAAAGACGTACCTCTCTAGCGAAAAGATGAACATGATGACCGAGAGAGCTGACAGAATGGCCATTAGGAGCAAGCTCTGTGCCGTGCATAAGCCGTCACCGAGGACCCATTCACCGCCCGTGATGGAGGTAAGGGCTGCCGTGGGGCCGAGGCACAGGGTAAGCCCCATCACCATCGCGCTGATGCTCGCTATGAACACCTGGCTGGTGTCGTTCCTGATGGGAGAGCGGCACACAACCAGCATTAAGAAAACGGCCGTTAGAAGAGCAAACGGCGTTGCAATGCACCAACACACTGCTGAAATGTAGTTGTAAAGGACATCTACGTCCTCCTTCACTTCTCCCGCTACAGACGCATTCATCCCCCCAAAGATTAATTCTCCACTACAAATGCAAGGAGGTGAACTCACAACCGCCAAGGGCTTCTCTATGACAAATGCAAGATAACACTGGGACATCGATGAAATGTTCTACAAATACAATGGCTGTTTGATATACAACAAGCTAAAAATATTCATGTATACCTTTGGTTAACTATTAACCGACCGTCACCGCTCGTGTGGTATTTACAAGTACTCGAAGATCTTGATCATCTTCGGTGATGTTATACCATCCCCTTGATTTACATCAGTTTCTCTGTATTTTCCAAGCATAGCCCTAAAGTTCAAGAAGTAACGACTCGTTTCAGTTGAGGTATAGTTGTCAGGTTTATCTGAAGTAAAGTCTGCGGTTAACAGCGCGAGTGTATTGAAATAAAATTCAAGTGGCTGGTAAGCGGCGACACGAGCTTGGGATGGGGGGTGCAAGGGGCTTGCTCCCCGGGCCCCCCGAAAGAAATGGAGAAAACAGATGCAAGTGAATGAAAATCGCCATTTTGCTTTAAAACACTGAAACTTTCAAACTTGACCCCCTCCAAGCCATTGTTTATCTCTTTTCACCGATGAGTGTTTTTCCCCTTGAACAAAAGCAGTTCCACCCTTGGAAAAATCCCGCCAACATCTATACTCTGCGGTCACTCATGGTTTCATGACAGAGCCAACAGTGTTATGATTGAACTGAAGATTTTTCTTTGTATTGTGACTGTAGAGACAGAATGGTGTTATATACGGCAACCTGGACATTATAGGTAAGGGCAAACCACTCAATTTATTATTTTGACTTTGCCTCACCTTACAGTGCATATGGCAAACTAGGAATTGAAAACCTGTTCCATCACGCATTTCCATTTAGCCGATCACAGCCAAATTACAAACTAAATTAACCAACAAAAGGTGTAGCAAGTCAGAGGGGCTCCGTCGGTCTTTCCACCAGTTCGTTTGAGTGGCTTGTGACTTTACTTACGACTGGATGACTTGCAACCGCATGACTTGTGACCAAAGTTGATGACAACTATGACTTCGTAACATTACCCGGTATATCGGATGCCTACATTAAACTGTCGTGTATTGATGTAGGGCCTACCATAGATCTGTAGGGGTTGCGATTTTACGGTTGGCTCGGGTTAAATGGTTACGTCTGTGTGGTAACTAAATGAATCAGAAGGCACCCTACATTATTTTTTAAACTTAAATACGGGCCCACAAGCAAAGACGCACTGGACACATATTTACGTCAACAAAAAAAAAAAAATAATAATAAATTTAATGCAAAAGAATACTTGCTTATGAGGCACCACAGTCCCAAGATATCTCGTTGACCGCTTTAATATGAAGGTCACAGTATAAACAGAGTAAACATGAACACAAGTATCTCACAACGAGGACAAGGTGTTAGCTGTGATAATGACCATAAGACACGTGAGGTGGACCCAAATTGGTAACAAAGCGGTTTCAACTAATACAAAGAAAATCCTGGACAATATATGGTATACACTATCGGGGTACTACAATCTTATTAAACACCACCAAGATGAGGGGTCTCATAATAAGCACATGCAAGAAAAAAAAAGGCATGACGGAGTTTCCAACACACCAAAAAAAAAATGGAATAGGACAAAAAAATAGAACAAACAACACTTGTCCGATTAGCTGCAGTCCTCCGAGATGTCCGTAGCATGTTCGTTAATTGAGATCAATCCGGTGAGTGGTCCAAAAGAAGAAGCGACAAAATGTTAAGTGGAAAGTTCGACGTTTACACCGCGATAAACAAGCAAGATTACAACCGGAGAACAGCATCACTCAGCGGGGAACGCGTGTATCAAGGGGGGTGCATCCAGCGGCAGTACACTAAACAGGTTCCCAGAATGGCTAAAAAGTAGGCGAAATTTGCGGATAAAAACGGGACAATGAATAACCTGACCACCGGCCGTGGTGAAGTAAAAGCGAGAGTGAGGGGGAAAAGTGCATGTACTCAGCCGGCCGGAGAGGGTGCGTGCTGGGAAAAAACACGTGCGTAAAAAATAGACTAACAATTCGGAAGCTGGTTGGATAAACAGAGGGAAGCTAGTACATATTCATAAGGTAGTAAATAATTATAATAAAGGCCAGCTCCTGGGTCAAGAAAAGAATGCGGATACAAGGTTACATATCGTCTGGCTGCCACAGATCTTTGAAACTATTGGTGGCAGTACAACCACCTTTTGACATTGGTGAAGTTCCAGCGCAAACCATAGTTCGACCACTGGTTAAATGCTCTTCAACGATGTGCATGCATAATGCAGTCACACATGAAAGACCCCAGTCAAACTCTTTGGTTACATCTCATCATCTCTCGCATTTTGCAGTGGGCTGACACTATGCGTTAGTGGTCAATGATATATCTCGTACAGTTGTTTTCATGTTAAAGTTTCCCTCCACACTGATCAATGAAATCGGCTGCTGATGCCAGGGCTGGTTCGAAATGGTCGAGAAGATGGTTCAGATTGTGCAGCGTTCGGGTGACATTGGTCGACCTAATAGGTAACCACTGTCTCCTCTCGGACTTACCCATTCCTCTTAATTAACCGTAGGCAGTCATCGAGTTTCCAATGTGATTATATTTTGGACTCTGAAATGAACATGTATGGCATTACGTATTAATTTTGTGCACAGATCAAAGACAACTAACGAGGACGTGGGAGGTCATCATCTTACATAAAATAGAGACAGAATCCCGTGGCAGTCATAATTTCATAAGAAACTGGTTCAAGAGAAGCTTAAAGTATCGTAGGTTATACCGCTACCGACATCTCAATCCTTCACATTTACACACCATTTTTACCCAAAAGCCAACTGACTACTACCATCTTGGACATAAGCAGCATTATGTGGGTGTATTAAGATATGAATAGAAGCAGCCGATATAAAAAGATTATTATACTTTTATTTACAATATAAGGGACGAATTGAAATATGAGGGACGAATTAACTCAGCGCAGTCAACCTTTCAAAGTGCCCCGTGATAGTAAACTCCTTTAGTAACCTTGAGAACAGAATGAGAACAACGGGTGTAGGACCAGGTCGATTCCTTTTTTTTTAATTCATAGGATAAAACTGGACCACTTAAAGTGGGTAAACAGGTCCATTCCTTGCGACTGGAAACTGCACAGCGGGCTACTAAGTGTGTTACATTGACTAGGCAGGCCACATTCATAATAAGGGCACCCAAAGCCATCACAAACAGCAAATAAAAGTGAACTGAAGTGAACACATTTCTCTACGAATGGAAACGTTCCTTTCTCACGATGAAAGTCTTCAAAAGTTTTGTTTGACAGGCTTTTCATAAAAGATGCTAATCGTTATTGCCGACCCAGACGGCAATTAAGGGGGAAAAGCTGCTGGGCATTTTGCTTGAGAACCCTGCTGCTGAAGATGGCTCGAAGTCCGATTAAGGTCGGCGCTGTGAAGATGCTAATATTCCCTACCAGGACAAGATACTTCGGTATCGCGTAGCCAAAGAAAGACAGGTCAAGGATCAGATAAACTGCGATCGTAAACGGCGCAGTGATGGTCAGCAGAATCAGGTGGGATTTATTCACGCGAATCTTGCGGTCGAACTGGGCGACTTGGAGTCGCTGGTCGGCCGCAGTGGCGGCTCTGTCGTTGGTCGTACGCTCACCATTCTGGGTGACACCCGACGATGACCGTGGTATCCCGGCGACAATGCGCCGTAGATGCTGCCGAACCGTCAGCAAGAGCGCGATGTGGACGATGTAGCCGACCACAGAGGGCACGACGGAGAGAAGGACGTAGAAGGATAAGAACAGTGCTTTGTTGAGAACAGGTTCGGAGTAAGGAGCGCAGACGTGACACGAGGGGATGTACACGCCTTTCCACTCTGACAAAAACCCAGTGAGGGGGATGTTCACGAGGGGTATGATGATGATGCCCACGGCCAGGCGTTTGATGCGTTCCACGGTGATCAGTCTTGGGTAGCGCAGTGGGTACAAGAGGAAAACGAATCTCTCCAGGCAGTAAGTGAACAGCCACAACGCGCTGACGCAGTGCAGGTAGACCATCAGCAGACTCTGGGCCGTGCACAGGAAACCGCCCAGGATCCACCGACCGCCGGCAATGGCGCTGATAGTGGCGGGGAGAGCAAAGCACAAACAGACCAGCAGGATGGTGAAATTGATGGCCACGATGAAGATGTGATTTACATCTTCCTGCTGGCTGGCTGTGCGGTGCACAACCAGTAGCGTGAAGGTGTTGGTCACAATGGAGGTAGGGGCGACCACGGACCAGCAGACAGCCGAGATGGTATTAAACGTGACGTCCCCCGAGCCTGTGCCGACTACCGTACTCCCAGTGGTGTTCTGCATCGTGGCAAAGACACATTCAACTTACAACAGCATCATCAGAAAAAAACCATTTCAAGAAATTCTTATTCGACAGTTGATAGGGTGACTTCTGTGATGCGTTGAGTTACGTCGCAAACGGCCCTCAGAGATGCCTGTAGAAATTATTAGCGTACGCCGATAGCACGAGAAGCTTGCGTAGCCGCAAAAATGACTGATATCCTGACACCATCACTACCAAGGTGTCATTGAGACAAACAGACCTTCCCATGAATTGTTCTGGGGCGCGGCGGCAAAGACGTTAGCAGAATGTCAAACGCATCTACGAGTTCATTAACGCCCATTCCACGATCAGTAAACAGGAACGACGTTGTGGACGAAGGTATACGGATTGTCGTTGGTGCCGTGATGAATTCATTCACTTCATTAACGCGGAGTAGTTTTTTCTATGCGTTTTTTTTTTTACGATTTCGAGAGTGCAACGGCGACCCAGTAAAACAGATTCCTAGGTTCCTCCATCTGAATCACGTTTCCTGTCGGCGAAGACCTCTCTTCACAATTGGAAAATCAATAACCAATGAAATTGTTGCTACACTTTAAATGCCTCAATATTGGTCGCGTGGCGGATGAAAGTCCACTCATGCGCTGATGTTCCCAGCCACGGTAGTTATCTCATGAAGAATACGCACTGAAAATTGCGGCCACAGACATCTGAATGATTGACGAGTAGCCCGATAGGACACACACACTTCTGATCCCTAGCCCCCCCCCAACTGAGCAAGTCACGCAATCTCCCGATTCCCGTAGTCAAAATAAATAAAAACTGGTCCAGCTAATGCAGCTGTGCGAAGACACGACGTTTGAAACCGTGCTGCCTGCATCCAAATCGGTAACTTAATAGGTAATAACCTGGGTTGGGTCGTTTGTATCACTAGCACTTGCGACTTACCTTTGGAGCCCGTTGTGTTCAATTTATCTGCAAGGTTGCGAACTTGCACCCTCGTTGTCAAACAGCCATCTGTCTCGCTACATGTATTTGTTGTGCTTTTCAAGTTGAAGTGTAGGTTTTTGCGCCGAAATTAAAACTCCCTTAGAAAAGAACAAACACATCTGCTGGTTGCTTCGAGCTCTTTATCCAGAGGGTGATATTTTACTCCTGACCGCCAGCCACAAATGGTGGTGCATTTTTCATCAGGTGATGTCGCAGTGCTTATGGCTTGTCATAAATCAACCCACTGGAGCAGGCAGTCTTAAGCAAGGTTAATTTCGATTCTTCACACCACAATGGGAAGACGACGTCCACACACAATACGGGGTCTCCGTGTCGGTATATAGCTCCTATAGTTCTGATTCACTGAACGTTTTACTCCTGGATAATGTTTAATCTCCCATTCTTTTCGTCAAAATATTGTTAAAATATATGAAACATAAACGACAAAAACACAATAGCTGATATAAACATGCGCAGCACGAAAGGCTATTGACGAGGTGAAAATGAACAAATGATTTGAGTAAAATCAAAGATTGTTCCTTCAGATAGGCCGCTATACACGGACCAATAGCGGTAAATAAACCGATCGTTTCAACCTGTTGTGGCAGGTCCATTACGACGAACACGGTGATAAATTACTAACAAAGAGTTGATTCGCTCTTATCGTTAATCATTCTGTTTCAGAGCTGTCTATTTTGCTCGCCCTCCCTTCTCCTATCAAACGCGAACGCCAGTCTCCTTCATGACTTAAGGTGGAATTCCCAAATTGAGCAGCAGAGATAATACTGAACACGTGAACCCTGTAACTTGACAGTTAACTTGGGTTTTCATTAATTAACAAAGCGCGGGGTACGAGTTTTAGGGATGGGTATAGATATGCCCTTTCTGATTCTGAAAAGTATACGTGTCTACATGTAACTACTTTTGGGCGCGACTGGTTGACCCTCAGAATCACTCTATCGCGTTGTGCCATCGGTCGATTCCGTAAGAAATCTCACCTTCTTGAAACAATCTACAACCACAGCAGAAAGAACGACGGATCGTGCCGCAGAATTCGACAGAGTGCCCAAATCGCCCCATTGCCACTCAAAACAATAGTACTCAGTTTTATTCCACGGTGAGCCATCAGTGCCAACATGATGGGCGGGGAACAGTGGTGAAGGGGGGAGGGTATATTCAAATAATTCCTGCATTTAGCTTCTAGTCACAATCAATCCAAGAGGAAAACCTTCTGAAACTCAAAATACTATAATCAGGCAATATCGAGACGACAAACCTTTACATATACAATAAACTTTTTTATTGTCATTTTACACATAAAACACATGAGTGCACTTTCATGCAAACTCTTAAAGTAGTCAAAGCCGCTCGGTATAAAATTCTCAAGTTAAACTAAACTAACTGGTTTGGACATTTGGTTGCAAGCAATACCAATTAAGTACATATACATGATGATCGCTGTCTTTTCTTGGAAAACGCAAGCCTCTCCAAATCCGCGCGGTAATCTAGTACCTCGCTGGATTTAGTGTGACAGGTCGCAATTTACCATAAGTATAATCAGCCGTGTGACGGCTAGAATTCGTGCGGAGATTGCATCAAATAAAAACCGGTCTAAAGACAGATGGGACTCGGCGATAAAACGGGTCATTTTAATTGACGATGCTGCGTGGTATGGAGGCCAAGCAAATTTGGGACTTAAGTCCGTAAACGGGCAGAGTTCATTTTTTCCTTCCGAGCCCAAAGTTTGGATGTACAAGCAGGTTGAATTGTGCACTGCATTATTATCCCCGGCAAACACTGGCGATGTAAAAAAACAGACCTGGCGCCACTAGAAGCGATAGACTTAAACGACAGTTGGTCAGTACATAATCAACAGCACTCAGGACATATGGTAGGATGCGTGTGTGCGTAATGTTCAGGTTTGCTAAGACACTGATTGCGCTTGTCAATGGTATGAAATTTGCTGTGTTTTACGACAGCAAGAATGAAACGACAAAATGTCCTTTAAGCAGATGCTTCGTGAGACAATTTTTGGCGATTCACCCCTGTGTTTCTTTTACTGAAGCGAACTGGCAAAACGTCATAATTTTCAGTCTGCGCGAAAAGAGGTGCGCAGTGGAATGTGTTTATTTTTTGTCACAATTATATCGTAAACAAAACGCTAGCTTATCTTCACGCGGACGAAAACGACGATCTCGAAAGAATGAGGTTTTGAAATTTGACCAGAGGGGCCACGAAAGGCCCTCGAAGCTTGGGTATTTTTCAATAAATGCTGTCAGGCGAGACTGGATTTACTGTAAGTATGAGCGCGGCTGTCAGACGCCAAGTGATTTCCAAACACAGAACCGAATAATGGCAATATCTATCTGCCTCCATCAAACAGGCAGACCACATTTCAGGGAAAGATTTTGGAAAAGAGAAAAAAAACCGTACAGACCTCGGTATTAAAGGATATAGTCAGGAATTAATCTTACTTATAAACATCTACATGCTCGCGTTGGTTTAAATTCTGCGACTGCTGAGTTCCTCACACTTAAAGGGCCACTACAAACTTCTGTCACAGAGAAACACCACACACTCAATGCCTCCGCACAGCTAGAAAATTGGAAAGACAAAGAAACCCAATGTGGTTCTAAAGAAAGTGAAGTGATTTGAAGTTCTTTCCACATAAAGACCATCTGGCTTTACTTACAGTTACAAGTAATGATATCGCTCTAAAGTAAACATGTGAAAAACAGACTAGGAAAATATATCCTATGTTGGAAAAACATCCGAATGAGTGTAAGACAAAGGGAACCCTGCTCGATAATACCAAACATCTTCATCAAGTGACTGACTCCCCGAGGCAAGTAAACGTCCAATATATGCATAAAAGAAATGACACTGGTTAATAAAGTCTTCAACTAGCATTCAGTTTGCATACAACAATTAAGAGGCCGTTCCCTGTGGTCTATACACATGTAATTCAATTAGTCACATGAAAATTATGGAAGCTACCAAAAAGAACTACCCACCATCAACCTGCAGTCTACTTTTCCAGCCTCAACATGTCATGTTATTAAGAGTAAAATACTGCATAGCATTTAAATTCATCAAAGAGGTTGAGTCCAGGTTAAGCTGAAAGAGTTTGCATGGAAACAGCAGGGATAACATCGTACCAGCACGAACTTGTATTGACACAGTTCTTGACAGCCTCGTTTCGCCCCTAAAAGAGAGGGTGATTCTAAAAGAAAGGGTGGTTCTCTTTTTAATCAACAGGCTGTTTCTTTGTTTATAATAATAGTTATTCATTCACGGATCTTTATACAGGATGGCGGCGACGGTTTTGACTATTTGTCTTTGTTATACAATCCCTAAATCATGAAAGCCCCTCTTACGAAAATCTTGCGATCAAAAACATTATTGGGCCGGACAATACCCACACGGCTCAAACGTGCCAAAGTACATGCATACACGAATTACGGCAAACTAACTCCCCATCAGAGACCTTCATGATTGAAAACACGGTTGCAAGGGACGTGCACGCAAGTGAAATGTGTGCAAGAACAACGTATGTGTGAACTGCACGCGTATAACTACACACGCATTAAAGTGGTCCATACCACTGACGCTTGCCTTAGATTTCCGGATAAAAAAGTTCCACAAATTTGAACGTGAAGAAGGGAAAGTCATGAACAAACCAGAAAAACTACACGAACTATAACACACGACAAGTTTGAAACACCCAGGGTCACTTCCAATTATACTGCTTCGAATAGAACTAAAATGGCATTACAAAAGGAGTATCTCTGACATTGTAAACTTGGGTATTAGATTGTTGGAAGTAAAACATTAAAACTAGGGAATGACTTGTGAAGTTACATAATCATATAAGGTTGTGGGGTACAGTGGCCCTACCTAGGCTAAATGATTTCTCATGTTATCTATATACATCTATTTGACAATCAAGACTCGAAATGAGAGCCCAGGACATCTATCTGTTGAGACAATTTCAGGCTTTTCAGTTAAGGAAACCAATCTGGTTATCTGCTTCAGGGACCATCAAGCGAGATCCCGAACACTACTGTAAAAAAACAAAACAAAAAAAGAAACAAACCAAAAACACACAAAACATATACACTGCTTGTGCAATGCACATGTAAGTCAATAAATATCTCTCAAAAGCTACATAAAACTGGGCATGACGACCAGGCCCCATAATAAATTATAATATAATTTTGGTTTGTATGCATCATTACACTGACTAGGAGATGTACTAACTTAATGGACACTGTTTCTGCATTAGACGTCCCCTGATACTGAACTGGCATTCCCTGTCTTCAAATATTTAATCAAACACAGTTAAAATAAAAACAGCTACAACATTTGTTTAACAACAGCAATGCTTGGTACCTGAGAAGGCACACATCCACGTTTGGGTTGGGTACAAAAAGTGGTATTCACAATTGTGTCAATGTGACTTTTGGTGATAAATTTGATTCATAAATACCTCAGAGAGTCTCCCTATTCAACAACGTTTAACTTAACCGAGGGAATAAATATGTGCTTGGATGGCCAAGCACATTTGTATTCCCATTCATAAATACCTTTTTAAATCGGAGTGTCAAAGAAGTCAATATATGACAGATTTCCTACAATTTGGTTTGAGAATTTACTTTCATTTTCCCGGACCCCCCCATTTTATGGTATATTCCAAGGCATGTGCAAGTTGTCCAAAAGAACCTCCTTATATGGACTTGATGTGCGTGTGGCAAGCCTCATGTACAAAGACTCTTGACCAATCAGGATTGGTTAAACTGTCTCGTATCCAAGTGCCATCGCGTGATTTATGCAGCAGGCCTTATCACATCTCAGCGGGCATTATCAAATGTTGATACACAGTCAAGTGGCACGTTGTTGAAAAGGGAGAGTGTCGGAGGTATTTATAAATCAAGTTAACTCACAAAAGGCTTATTTCCATTGGTGGAAAGGAACAGGCAAATGTTGGCAATTGGGTAGTGTTTGCAACACTCCATTCAGAATGATGATTGTTCCACTAGGGTACCCCTTTTTAATTCTATAGTTTTCATTCCTGAACAATCCCGTTTTTGGCTCCCAACTGAAGAAAAAACTGCAAACGTTCTGTGATGGTATATGCCACATAAAAATTTTTTCATTTTGTGTAATTTATATCCAAGAAGCTTAAGATGGGTTTATGTGTTACTTCAATAAATATCATAAAAAGAGTTTTTATGTTAACTCTGAACGAGCCAATCAGTCATTGAACACTGCATCATTTATTAGCCTTATGTGTTCATCGTGTATTTTTTTTACGTAAGATTTTATTTCTTTTGGTGATTGACCAACTCCAGGACCAGAAAGATGTGAACCACAGAATTAAACTGAGACGCACTTTCGGAATGTATATTCCCCCCCCTCCCAGAAAAGTTGGAAGCACCAGTGGTCCCAAATAGAAACAACTGCCCAAATAGAAACAACTCCCAAAATGCAGTGCCATGGTCTGACGTAAAGAGAACATTCTAAATCCCCAGTAATTTCTCTTGCACACATTTTTCACATGCGAATTTGTTCAGAATAGATTAAGGCCTTTTGTAGAATAAATAAGGTTTCCATTTGTGCGGTTTCAAGAATTAGTTTATTCAGTAACACATGGAAACTTCCATTTCTGCTTGGTTTCACCTTGTCACATGAAACCTTCCCTAAGTCACAGAGCAAAATCATTCTTGCTACCGCACTCGTAAGTGATCGTTATTGTATACCGGTCACCTGAAATATTTCACCATTCAGAGTCAAACTTCACACTCTGGCATATTAAAGCGCCCAGGAAGGCACTTTGACGGACATTACTTGATGAGGAAGGCCAACTTTCAAATAGGTGTGTGCATTCATGCAATGCAAAAGGCAAGATCCAATAGACTTTTACATGCTGGTCAAATTTGACTGCCTTGGAACATTTTGCCAAATTCAGCACCTGAGAAATCTTTGATTCATTTGTGATTAAGCCTGTACTCGTAAGTTGATGTTCGACATGTATCCAAAATTCCTTACCAAGCATAAATTTTTGCTCTATCTGCATTAAAGACATCAAATTTGGATGATAAAAGTGGTCTCCTTCACTTTCAGTAAAGTGAAATAGAGACTTTAAAACATCAATCAAGCTCATATTTAGATGCAAAACCACTGATAAATACAATAACTGATGTTAATTTTGGACTGGCCTTGTGTGGAGGCACTACGCTTGGTTCTCAATGTGATGATCCAAAAGCAAAGTTCCTACTAAGTCAGAATTCTTTAAAGCACATTGTTGTAAGTATCACTTTAATAAAAGTGTTGTAGATCACGTACCAAATTCGTGCGCATAGTCAATCAAGCTGGTACTCAAATAACATACTGAACAGTCGGTAATCCATGTTTGAGGTTCTCGGTCCCACTGTCCTTGAGTGCTCACTATTTCCCAAAGAGCTTGGAGAATCTGGGCACCATACTCATCCTGCACTCACACATGTCAACTCAATTTGGTACTCACAAATATGAAATTGACTCATTCAAAACTCATTTGTAAGCAGTCACTTTGTTTTTCATTGAGTACTGGCCTTCACTGGCCAAAGCCAATTTGAAAATTTGCTCCTGCTGCAAAAATTCCACTGACAGATGTAACTCATCTTTCCATACTCACACTCATAAGTCATCTTTTCTGCTCTCCTGTCTCTACCCTCTAGTACTCGATTACAACACTTTTTCAGTGAGCTTTTGAGAGACTAGCTGTACGTGCCTACTCCCCTCTATTCAAGGCCTGCTAGAGGGTTCTCATCATGCCGCTCAGCTGGCTGTGTATATATTCAAATGATGGTCTCTTCCTCGGGTCAATATCCCAGCACTGCTGCATGATCTTATAGATACTGTCTGGGCAGCTCTCTGGGGCTGTCATGCGATATCCATTCTCTATATGCTCTACAACAACAGTCAGGTTCTGGGGGGAAAAACCCAAAAAAAAACAGCCATTTTTAAGTTGTTGACTACCTTTGCTTTGGAAATTGCTCAGAATGCTGCTGGAGACAATGCTGTAGACAGCTGTGGTGGTTGTGGAATGTTCTCCTTGCAATAAATTTCAATCTGCAATTGTCAGTGTTTGGTCTTGTCCATTCTCAACAATTTCCATATTTCTTATTTGCTCAACTAAATCAATTTTTTCATTAATCCCAGTTGTCACAAAACATTTTAAACTTGATATTAAATCCAGAAATGACATTTACGAAGGGAATCAGCTTATACAAATGTTGAGCTTGTGTTGTATGACATTATGAACATACATGCTGTGATCCAATACTCACAAGTTTAGGATAGGGAAGCTTCCCAAATGAGTACAGTTCCCAAATGAGAATGCCAAAACTCCATACATCTGACTTGACAGAGAATAGCTGTAAGGCAAGAAATAAATGTGGAATAAAATAAAAACAAACACAGAGAAAATTATCAAAAATGATGGAAAGACCTTTGAGGTGTGAATATCAACTAAACAAGAAATCAATGCTACTTGTGTCTGTAAGCACTGTACTGTAGAAGAACCCTCATGTGACTCCTGAAATGCAACACTATGAACAATGTGATGTCATTCTCAGGGACATACATTTAAGTCACAGACTATTCAGCAAACTTGATTCAATACAAATGTTCACATGGCCTACTACTTCAAAACTTTTTATGAAACTTGAAAATGTCTTACTGGCATCCCTCCATTATATGGACTTTGTTTTAAATAACTAAACAACTAGATCATCAGCAACAATATGGATCCAAACTTGCATGGTCTGAAGTCAGTTTGGAAGATCTTAGAATGCTACGTGATCAAAATGAGTATTATTTGCGTGAATGTAAAACGGTGCACACTCTACTATTCTGGACTACGTCACAGAGGCAGAGGCCAACCATGAGCTGAGCAGATGCCCCCTGAAAGGAGACAGGAGTACTGTCAAAGAAATCAAGCCCATTAGGGAAGACAAAGATGAATGAAAGGAACTCAAAGATCGACATAGATCCCTATCTCTGCAAAAGTTAAGTAATGCAGCTACTTATCATGCCTCTTTGATGTGGCTGACATTAACACAACTCACGTTCTTTCGGAGGGCTTCTGGCGCTGTCCATTTGATTGGAAATTTGATTCCCTGCTGGGTGATGGCGGCATCTTTCGAGAGGCCAAAATCTGCGACCTTGGCAATGTCCCTCTCTGAGATGAGAACGTTTCGCGCCGCCAAGTCGCGGTGGACAATGTTCTGGCTCTCCAGGTAGGCCATGGCCGAGGCAACATCACTAGGAAGGGAATAAAAAAATGTGAAAAGCAAAAAACAAAATAAAAATCAGTGAATGTGGGAAAAAAAAACCAGTGGCATAACTTGGGTGATTTCTTTTGTGGGGGAGGCGGGACTCATGGGTGCACACATTTTTTCAAAGGGATACAGTGGCTTGGGTACAAGAGTTTTTTCTTTAATTATCAAGCCTACATGTATGTTATAAATGGAAAACTCACCCGGCGAATTTGAGTAGCTGTGGCTGTTTGATCACTGTCCTTCCCCGAGACCTCAGATAATCTACCAAGTTCCCCTTTAAAAATACGAGAAATACAAGTACTTCATATGGTCTTTCACAGCATGTGAATCCACGAGAAAGAATTCAATTGCTTATCTGTGTTAGAAAACTTCTCCAGCTTGAAATGTAAATGTATACTTTTCTTTTTCAATTTCACAAATTGTCACATCAGATTCTAAAATTGTAAAAACAATTCCCCAAATGGTTTACATGTAATCCAGTTTCCAGCATTCCACACACATTCAACAGAGTAACCAAACATATGGATTTCTGATAACTATTATTCAGATATCACTCCTGCTGGCTCGGAACGGACATCATGTTTTCAATATGTCCTACATTAAACTTAATTTCAGAAAGGCAAAACTGGCTGAATGGTAAGGGAAAACAAAGTCTAAATGTTGGCTGCACCACGGCATGTCAATACATAAGAGGAGTCTAGAGTAATGGCGCATGCACTGGATTTGTTCAAACAGATAGATCTCTCTAAGTAAACACTCCACATGTACCGGGGTAATTAGGCAGAACAACAAGCAGTCAATCTTCATTGTCTACCCACTTATTAAATGTCAATGTCTTTGAGGTATGTTTGCCAAAGTGAGAAACGTGCAAAGGGACTGCCTAGCACATGAATGGCCAAATCATACGGTGATAAGGAATGTGTGCATAATGCTGTATGGTGAGCCACCTATTTTGTTATAATATAAAAATTATTGGCAAACCAAACAACACAAAAACTAGAAGGGAGAAATACTCCACTGAAATGCTCTACAGATCAATTTTTCAAATTCCTATTTGATCGTCTAAATGCAGCCTGCTCAATGAAAATGAGTAATGAGTCTCCAGGATCACTTCTGAGTTATGTACATGTAGGCCTTTAAAAGAACCTTTTACTGTGGAAATCAATAGTACCGAGGATTCTCACTCACACAGTGACCATTTTCATCAAGATGCCAAAATTAGTAATACATCAACATAAAAAAAGCTCAGCTTGCTCTTTTTAATGCAATCTGGAACAAACTTACTGAAAAATGCAAGGCTTATCACTCATTTTCACAAAGCGGGTTACAAATGGTTCTTTCATTACTTCTAAGTTCATGAGGAGACTGAGAATGGATTCTCATTCAAGCAAAAACTCAAGTGTCCCTGTCACATCTGAAATATGATATTTGTAAGTTCAGAATACATTTTCTAATTTCCAAGAGTGATTAATTAATGCAAATTACCTGCCAAACAAATAGTAACAGTTTGAAATCAATTCCAGTGATATTTCCACGTCAATAACAAAGGTCAGATGTAACAGGGACACAAAAGGTCACATTTGGGCTCCTAATTTCTGGAATTACCCACATGTAGTAGTCTCCTATATAATTTCTTTCTCTCAATCGCATGGTCAAATCATTTAGTTTGAACATTGAGAATAATGACTGAACATCAAAATCAATCTTTCTTACCTTTTCCATAAATTCTAAGACTATTAACAAGGGACTCTGCCCACTTGGCAACACAACTCCCATTAACTGTACAAGGTTTGGGTGTCTGAGTTTCCTAGAATAAAAGCAAGAATGAATAAAAATTCAGAAATAAACTTCATGGTTCAAATTCATGCCACAAAGATTGGGTAATTAGGGGTGCAGAAATCCAATTGCATGTATATTTTTGCTTCCATTACCCAAGGCATTCTCCAACACTATATGCAGTGAGTTTTTAAAACATAACACTGTGTTTCTACGAGGCTAACACAGGGAAAAAAACAACACCTGTCACATTGTTCCATAAATTCAAACGATTTCCAAATATTGGTAAACTTGGTTGCCAACGACTACTGTCACAGTTTGATTAAAGGGCTTCTCTTCTACGTCTTCAAATTTTACTAGTATTGCATAATTCTCTTTCTTTGTATTAAGGGATCCAGTTTATATTGTATAAACTGCCTTCCTGTGGAGATCCTGACCGGAAATGTTATTGGAGTTATTAGCCTCACATACAGTACCACTTGACTTCTGGTTTATCCTTTTGTCATTACATTTTATAGACTGTTAATCCATTGAGTGCCCAATGGGAAGAGGAATTGAATTGATGGTTGGTATGCAAGTCCATGGGTAAACTACAGCAAGACTTCTTAAATAGTTCTTCAATAGGGCTGGGTATAAAAGACTGCTTAGGGCCTTGGCTCCTCACTTGGAAGCAAGACTGCAGGGTGGACACTTTACGCCAGGGCATTTGGGCCCTGTTATTTGTACCCATTCATGAGGGAGTTGTAGGTTCTTAGAACCGAGATGTGCAAAATTGGTGCATTTAGGAAGAGTCCCTCAGAGTTAGTCGGCTGTTGTCACAGTTATCTTTGCCTCCTTATCACCGCAAATGATTCCAACATGTTCTAGGTCAGGTTATTCACTGTAACCTGTAAGTATCATTTTATTGTGATTATATGAAATTAAAATGGCATTTGTAACCGTGATATCCTGTACAGTTTATGCTGCAAAAGCTGCACTGCTGGTGATAATTTAAAATTTGATTTACAACCAGGGTTTTAATGAGGGTTTGAAGTCGGGCATGGCAGACCCTCAGCACTGAGAGACGACCCCAAGAGGCTGAATCAGTGTCAGCCAGAACAGCAGGATCGTCACCCAGCTCACCGATGAGGAGGGAATGCCCGAGACGCCAGGCACCCCACTCTGCGGACTACGCATCGGTGTTTTAACATCTAAACCCAGGCAGCTCACTTCCCCAGCGGAGCCAATGAACTGTTGATTTGGGCCCGATTTCTTTGATGATTTGTAATGTAAATGTATTAATTGAATGTAATTTTGATTTGTTAATTGGTTTGGTATGATAATGAAGCAAATTAGATGAAGTGTTGAGATTCACAGGTTATTTGTCCATCTTTCATTTGTCTGGTTTGTCTGAATAGAGTCTGATCGGAAGTACAAATTCCTGGGGCTCTGTCGGGGGAATCTTGTGACAACTACAAATACAGCAAAATATTAAAATTTCACTATTCACACAGCAGTGGTCATCAATATCATTCTCTTTGCCTGTTTTGCTACTGTCATTCATATGAATTTTAAATGTGTACATATGTGTGGAAGTCAAACAGGCACACAGGTACATGTATGTGTACTGGACACAAGATTCTTGGAGTTTTTATTGAATTAAATCTGTTGTTTCACTTTCCACACAAAAGCTGTGATGCTACATGTAGCTCTCAACCCCTTTTTTTCATATTGGCGTGCAAAACAAAAGTTCCTTAATAAACACTGAAAAATGATAAATGTTGGTTTCCTCAATTTCCTGCCTCAAATTCTATCAATAACAAAGCAACAACCTGGACCTGGACTGAAAATAGTGTACATGTAAAGTGTAGAAAGATCAAAAATGAAATGTCTCATGGAAAGAGGCCCACGTAGATTGGGCAGTTGCCGTCACGTTTGCTTCCTTTACCTGTGCATGAAAAAAGGAAGCAGCGTGATATCATTTTCAGTTTCACTAAAACAGGAAATGAACTCATGCTGCGGCAGGGTTCAAATTTCATTCGTTTTTTCGTGTTCCATTTAACTGGGCATTACACTATGAAAAAAAGAACTCCCACTGCAAGATATCTTGCGACTCGTCACTCCACCAAACAGGTGTGGAAAAACTTTTCTGTAATATGACTGAGGAAACCGGGAGACACAAATGGCACAAATTTCAAGCATTTGTTTGCTCTCTATTGCTGTGTGTTTTCTGGGCAAAAAATGACACCTGATCTACAATAAGGAACTGGACGTGTGAAAAAAAGTTTGTTTTAACAACAGAAATAGCCATGGCATGAAAGGTTTGTCATTTCCCTGCATTGTGATTTGTGTGTAACACTGTTGATTTTTGCTAAAGCCATGAAACTTTCCCAGAAAACATGAAACTACACCGCCACAAACCAAGGGCGAAGTATTTTTTTAGCAATTTTAACCCTCCTTGGACTGCATTTGATACAAAAACTATCAAACGACCGAATGACAGAATTACAATTTGGATACTTTTCGTCATGCTATCTGTTTCAAAATGTTGGAGGCCTAAATTCCAAATATTTGACATCAAACTCAGCACAGGTCGCAAACCTACTCTGAATACACAGACCTGAGCTTGCCTTGACAGAAAAATACTCGAGGAACAAAATCATTTATGCTTGAGTTCAGCTCAAGCAAGGATGAATGGCTCAGCCCCCAAAAGTAGTTCCGCTTCCCATTACAACGGTATCTGGAAACTGGGTAACCTTGTTGGTAGATGTCAGAAATTTTTGTTTTTGCACTTTTGGCAAATACTAATTTCGTATACTACTATGTTAAAAATATCAACAGCAAGACAGGTTGAGCGGCAGTTGATTCTAATGACATCACTGTTTTAAACATGTTCAAGGGTAGTTACATGCATGTATACATCTGTTGAACCCTTCTGAACCACATACAAAATCAAATTGATACACTTTCTTTTTATTTCCAACTTAAAATTCTGAAAATCTCTCCCCAGATGAAGACTTTAGGGTTGGACCATCAGAACAGGGTAGGTTGGGAAATGGGAAGCATTTCTGGTTATGTTAAACTAGTGGTTTATACTGGCTGAAGTACGAACAACTCGAGTCCGTGTCTGACCGTGTGATTATTCTGTTTACACAAATAACAGCAATTGTGTGTACGTACATGATATAAATACAGGGAAAAAGATAATCGATGACTCGCGGTGTCGTGTTGAATAATAATTTACATTATTATTCAATTCTGAAGGTAACAAAAGGGACTGAAACATGAACTAACATGGAGTGTGGCCTCTCTGCACAATGCTATGGCAAAGTGCTGCTGATAACCAGCTGCAAATCACAGTGCAAATAGTCACAGTAGCTGGTTCTGATTGGCCAAGTAGACTAGTCCAATCATCGTTGACTAGATTGTGTTCGATTAAAGTTACTCAAACAGTGCTTAACTACATATATGGTCATTGATGGAACTTGTCGACAGGTTTGGGGGGGCAGGGGTGGTGACGGGGAGGGAGGGGGGTCACATTTGGAACACCGCGCCGCTGTACTTACGTCATGACGGAGGCTTCAGCAAGGAATGTTTGGGCTGCTTTGCTGTCATCTTTCAGCTGCTTGATTGCGACTTTTCTCCCCATGTAGTTACCTTTCCTTACGTCTAAAACAAATCCCCCCAAAATTCAAAGTTATCATTTACACATATGGAGGTGCCAATCAATAACTTAAACATGGACACCAGTGTGGCACCACTGGATTAGCTGAAGGATATGTCCATGAATGAGCACTTGTTTCAACAGCCAAGTCAGCTTACAGTCCAAAGTTGTTCCTTTAAACATAATGAAGTAGGGGACAAAACCACGAAAAATGTAACCCTGACCACATCAATCCCTCCAGGACATTTTATTCAGAATAATCAAGATATTTATTTCATTCACTGAAGTTCTCACTTCAACTGCAAAATTGTTTTATTTTGAAAACAAAAATGAGTTTTCTTTAAACCATATTCCACCAAAATATGAAGCTAATTCAAGCATTCTATGAAGCTTAAAGATGCCAACAATTTGGATAATTTAGTAAGAACCTGCTCGTCCTTGCATTCTTTGTAACTGAATCCCAAGTGAAACTATAGCTTCTTGTATCAGTTAGAAACAAAAAGAGAAAATGAACTTAACCAAAACAAAGTGACAGTCAACACAACACACACAGAAACAGAAATAAAACAGAGCAAAAGCAAAATCTAGACTTACCGCCAAAGTTTCCCTTGCCGATAAGATCACCAAGTTGGATGTTTTTCCTATTAATGGCCCAGCCAGCTGAAAAATCAATAAGGAAAAACAGCATTACGTACATTATGTCTTTGTCACAACTCCCTGTTACTTGCGACTGGTCTTGCGTCTGGTCTTGTGACTGGTCTTGTGTCAAGTCTGGTGACTGGTTTTGTACCTTATCTTATGTCTGGGCTTGTGTCTAGTCTTGATGTATCTTGTCCTGTGTCTAGTCTTGTGTTAATCGTGATTACAATACTGATTTCTACTCACATTGCACAAAATCATCTGAGTTAATGGAGAAGTTGAGTTCCCCCTTCTTTGCCAAGGCTACTATTAGCCTCGAACAAAGACCATCACTGTCCTCCTCGTAGTGCTGCCAAAGGAAATACATGTAAACAAAAAAACAGCTGACACAAACTTTGATTTGGTCTGGAGGTCATCAATTTATGCCATAATTTTCACAAGTGTCCAAGTCATACGCTGGGGAGGGGTTAGTGGAGTGCATATTGAAAATTTACAGTTTAATAAAAAATGACATCAAAAAAACTTTTGTCTCTTTGTAATATCAAATGGGAAAAGTGTACATTTTGTACACTTTTAGAAATAAAAAAATGAATGACACCTCATAAATTGGTTCCTCAATCTATAGACTGTATCTGTAACTTTATATATTCAGAGTAATGTGTTTATATAAGGGTGAAAAGGGCAACCCCAGTGTGTCGATGTATATTTCATGTGCGCATGTAAAAATATGGATTTCAATTCTTTCTATTCTAAATACTTGCAAACAATATTTCCATTACTTACTTAACTTACTTCCAAAAGCCAATAACTAAAGAATTAAAAAGGAAAGTATAGACGGAATGGCAGCAAGTTAAATTCAATCTACAACAATGCCACAGCCACGTCTGGTAGTTTAAATTCTACCCTTTCTAAACAGCCACTGCCTGGTCCATTCTCAGCTGTGCAGTCAGTAGCACGGGACCCCAATTTGTCACCCTCAAGACCCAGCAAGCGCGGTGAACTCGAGCTGCCTGCCCGTACCGTACCTCAACTAATTTGGTCAGATTCTCAAAGTATCTCTCCTCGTCGATGGTGAGTTTGTTATTGTCGTACAGGATGTGGTAATGCTCGACGTGACCCATCCAGCCCACGCACAGGGTGTAGTCGCCGGGGAAGTTGGTGCTCTCTCGGACCAGGAACAGTCCGTCGGTACAGGGCTGCAGGAGTTCCTCTGCCTTCTCCCGACTTATTTTACCATGGAACCACCTAACAGTTTACAACGGGAAAAACATTAACACAATGTGTAGAATCAGCTACCGGATAGAGGCAGACTGGTGGGTACCCTAAATCAAAAAACTGAGCAAACAATCTTGAGCTCAGGAACTGAAATAACAACTTATTTAAAACAAAAAGAAAACTACATGTGCTATTTGCTCAAGAAGAGCGCGCATAAAGGCTCTTTGAATTCTTGACTGGAAGAGTACTGTTCTGAAAAAAAACAGGGGTAATGATTAAAGGAGTAGATAAATTAAAACAAAGTGATTGTAAATGTGTCCTCTTTTTTGTGCACAGTATGGGTCATCAAAGCCATCAATTAAGAATTTAGAATTTAGCCTAGCTGCAAAACTTGTACAATTTCAAATCTTTTCAAAATACAAAAAAGAGCAACACTCCCTCCCATCAAATCCCATCTCCTTTTCAAATGCCAGTAATGTACCTGTGGCACCAAGACTCATGTGGCATGAGTACCGTACGGTAACTGACTGACGTGAAGACTTACGGCATGAATTGTCGTTTGACGCCTTCCCTCTTCTGTACGTAGTTAGCTGGTATCATGCCCTCCTGGCCTTTCTCATTCCTTGCGCGGTACCAGTTGGGGTCCTGTTTTGGCAGACAGCGAGGAAAGCTACGTCACTGTAGGTTTGGAGTACAAGCACCCCCTCATTGTTGACAAAGAGCCAGGCTGAACTGACCAATATCGATCCACGACCATTTGTCAATGAGTGGTTAATTTGGCCTGGTAACCTGTGCATAAAATGTAACCTGGGCAGTGGGCACCAGGCAAATTGTCCAGCAGTTGGCAAATGGTCCCTGATTCCAGTTGGCCATTCTTGCCACACAGGCTCCTTTTTGCATGTATGTTTTAACAAGTGACTTGGCTGGCGCTGCATTGAAGGCAAAATTTCTTTGGTGAGAAAATTTTTGGACAGCATTGTGGGGATTTATGTTTGTCCCCTGAACACTGTTATCCCCCATAATAACTTTTAATAAAACAGGTTTCTGGTGCCCACAATTATCAGTACCAACTAAACACATTGTGAAATTGCACCCTTTCTTGTTCAGGTAAAAAGCCTTAGACAGAGTATTCTGAAGTCACACAACAAAGTTCACCAAAATGCAGCAAGGCCATTTATGCACTGTATGGCTCCCACCCAACTCTGTTTATGTGTCATTCAACACCAACACTATCTGGAGAAGGCATGCTTAGTACTATTCTGAACAAGTTTCTACTGCTGTTGGGTGCTAACAATTAAGAAAACTGGTGGAAAGGGCAGCACAGACAATTGAACAAGCAGAGGAATGCAACTAGGAATTCAGAAAAATGGGGAAATTACGAACAGGACTTGATTTTGTACAGCGTTTTATAATTTGTAATGGCTTACATGTATGTGAGAAACTAAAAAACAAGGAAATTGAGCTGATCCAAGGAAAAGTTGCCTGCCTGCCGGTATGAGTCAGGCATGTTTATTCATGTTCTGCCACAACACACAACAGAGGGACCCATTTCCTACGGAAAAGGCCCTCTTGTAAGTTTGCTAATGAGTCAGGCATGTTTATTCATGTTCCCCCACAACACACAACAGAGGGACCCATTTCCTATGGAAAAGGCCCTCTTGTAAGTTTGATTTGAGTATGTTGAAAATTATCTAAATTCTTGCTTTTTTTTCACACAGAATTTTGAACAATGCTGCATCTCACATTAAAATCCAGGATTACTTTGCAATAACATACATGTAGTCATGTAGTTGCTGATTTGATTAAAGAAGGGTGACGCATTGACAAGGAAAAGTGGATACTGACTTTTGTGGCTTTGGTGATGAAGACAATTTCCCCCTTCTTGAAAGACAGGTCATCTGCCGTGGAACCCTCAAAGTTGAACTTGGCCAAACATTCAGTGCCTGGGGACCACTTTTCCTGCTATTAAAGGTACGAGAAGACACATGAACCCACAGATGGTCAAAAAATGAGTGAGACTGTATAAAATACATGTACTACAGATGCTGCTCTGACACAGCGTACTGTCTAAAACGTTGAGTACCCTCTGGTTCTTTGAAAGGGGATGGGCCATGTAGGGTTAAATTGACTTTACAGTTGTTGCCCCACGAGAGTGGAACAAGCTGAATAGAACCCTTAGGGAAGCTGAGTCTGTCAGTGAATTTAAATCCGGATTAAAGACTCATCTTTTTAAGCAAGCATTTTTTTAATCTAATAGTCCAAATTCCCTTTTTGAGGTAGGCATATTTTACAGATTTTTGGATCATTTTAAAACTTTTTATAGTTTTTATTGTTTACAATAATTTGTTTTACTATTTTTATTGTTTTTAGTGTAATTGTATTGTAGTTTTAACCAGTGTCTTAACTTTTTGGAAAGCGCCCTGGAGCACGATTTTATCATGGACGGGCGCTATATAAATACTAACTTATTATTATTATTATTATGATAGTTTGGTTGTCGATCCTCCGGGTCGCCGCCATGCCCGTGGCCAGCAGTGTATTCTGGTTCAAACTGACAAGGCAATATTTCTTGTGCCTGATCAGCTCCTTCGATGTCATTTTCTTCGTCAAATAAATAAGACGAACATGACAACTGATCACTGTCATGATCGGAAAAAGCATCAACGCTGGAATTATCGTCGCTTGATTCTGACATGATTTCACACGTTAACGCTAATGCTACTACATTACAGGAGTCTGTCCTTTGACGTCATGATTCTTGGGAATTTCTTTAGACAACTTTCTGTACCCGACGGATGTTTAGCTTTTGCTCCCAGAAGGGAGTGAAATAGGGTCGTGAAAACTACAATTTTTAACATATTTCCGCGTATTTCGAAATTATGCCGACGTGTTTTCTTGTTATATATCATATGTTTGTTTTATGTGTTGATGCATGTTTACAAGAAATCTTCCCAGCATGGCTCGTCCCCTTTAAGAACCACTCAGAAAGGGATGTCCTTATATGGTGCTACCACAAACCTCTCTAACTTACATTAGATGTTGGTCATGGTCATACCGATGATACCGGTACCAAACAGCCAAATTACAAATTTTCATTGGTGGTGTTTCACTATGGTACATGCACCTGTAAATTCAGCGTTGGGGTTTCTTGTCCTTTGTTCTGTCCAGGGCAACTGTGTTGATTTACAAAATTGAATGTACCATTCTACTTTCTGACCAATTTAAAGCATTGTTAATTACAGTAAGCCCTTTTGGGCAAGTTAAAATACCAAACAACGAATCCTCTCCTTAGTTTTCGCCTTTATTTGTCTACTATCCATACCAGTATATCCCCCCCCGGTACGTGTACATGTCAATTTGGTACTTTGAAACTCTTCAAAACGGTTCATGTTGTGGTTAATTCCAGGAAAAAAGGACAATTCTGAAAGTAGGAAACTTCATGCAATCTTCTCAACTGCAAATGCATCAAATCAAAGACCTTCCATTTAAGAGGCACCAACACACAATCACAATGTGCATACCGTACATGTACATGTATGTACTGGTAATCATGTCCATTTCTCTGGGTACACATACATGTACATGTACATACCGGTATACTGTACATGGATAATATGTACATGGCATGCTCTTCATAAAATGGACCAAAATGTAACTTCGGCTGTCATTTTTCAAAACCTCTAAAAGAGTGACTTTGTTCATGTAAAATACAAATTAGCACCTTCAGATTTATAAAAATGATTATATGGGGATAATTAGGCATAATATGTACTTACATGTATGGTGGACATTTGGTTGGCTACCAGTGCAAATCAAATGGAGTTGAATTCATGTTAAGTTTTACATCAAAGTGTTTACATCAGAGGACTTGATTTCAAAACTTCTCTCAACAAGAAGGAGAATTCAGTCTATTTTTCGACTGATATGTGTCCCTCAAAATTGCTAAGTTCGAGACTTTAATTAATTAACTCCAATTAAGTTGAAAGGTTGACATGGTCATCATTGTTCCAGATATCAGCCATGACTTCCCTCATTACATCAAACATTGGAAATTAATTCAACTGCTGTTCACTTCAGGAATAATGAACCCCCAAAGTTGAACATTATCTAATGGTCCATATTTTGAGGAACCTGCCACATGTACAATGTACATCTGGTATACAGGAAATTCAAGTTTTGAACACAGAAAATACAGAAATCAATTCCACTGAAAGTAAAAGATGTTCTACATGTACATTTCCATTATCTACATGAACAACATGTACAATGTCTTTACACATCCTGTTTCACACGACACAGTCCTTGTTTTGAAATTAATGATTCCAGACTATGCATCCTGTTGTCCACACTATGATTCTGCTGATAAAAACCCACACTTTGCTTTACTGGAAAATACTATTTACCACATCAAAACCTATCTGTAAAAAATTCTGATGCCTTGAAAATAATTTTGAAAACAAAATTGTACATGTACATACCCATAAAGTGTAATCAAGTATGCTACGCGAACATGAACATGTACAATGTACATGTAAATGACAGCACAAGTTGAACACAAAACCTCCACCATAAATCTGCAATGACACAAACTCTACAAGATATAGGCAATGCCTTTCCAGCATGAACGACAGAAGATGCAATTCAAAAGTGCATGTATGCATCCTGGTTTACAGCACTCATCCCAGAAATTACCACAATTCAAATAGCAAACGTCAAAGCACTTCATCAGTTCATGCCCAATATTCTTTCCTCCCTTTAAACTTTCACTTCACGGTGGATATTTTTAGCCAGGAGGTGGGTCTCTCAGAAAAGCGATTAATCATGGACAGGTGGATTACATGTCAAGGATGTACTCCTAAACATTCTACACGTTTTTTTCTTCCTACTGGACTGTGTGTGTAGCATGCTGAATCATCTTACGCAGACACAACGGTAAATCACAGCATGGATAATTACGTCTGGAATGACAACCAACCGATGGCTGAGAAATTCAGAAGACATTGTTTTGGCCAGGAACATCGGGAGGCATTGGAGGCAATTGCCTTGATGCCTCCGATCTTTGTCTTGATGCCCACTGAAATGTTCCCATAGACAAGTTGATTATCTAACACAAGTGCCCTTTGTGAAGAAGAAACTACTGTACATGTACCTTGGCTCTTCAAGAACAAAGTTCCCACCCTATGATTTTGGCACTGCTCAAATTTGCTTTACCCTAACCTTCCTGGCTTCAAATTCATAGAGCTGGTAAACACAAAATAAACTGCTAAGCACAATTCAAGCAAACACCGTATCAGCTGGGAACCAGTCAATATAGAATGCATGGCATTGTGGCTGGTAACCCACTTTTGCTTGGCAAATACATGTATTTTCTAAACCTTGCATATTTCCATACTTCTCAAGTGTGCAATATACATGTACATATAGGGTCCTGCCTTTTCCTCCAAAGTCAAAGTTTTGACTGGACTGGGTAACACTGTGCAGTGTACATGTGCTTAACCTTTGTAGGGCCAAATGAAGTACATGTACAGGGACATGTACCCCCTGAAGAAAGATGACGATAAGGGAAAATCCCAGGATTCTAAACAATCAGTTGTCATGGGCCCCAAACCACTCAGTGATTGAGACACTTTTATGTTGAAGATCAATGGGTTATTTCCTGATTAATAGGCCTATACAGTGTATTTTAATACTTTCTCCAAATTAAAGAATGAAAGATTTCTTCCTTCAAACCTTCACTGCGTGTTTTATTATTATTATTTTTTTTGGCTGGGAACCTTCTCAAATCCTCTAAAAGTCTCCTTGAAAAGGAACATCAAAAAGTTTAAATCTCCCTGAAATCTGCAGAACCCTCCAATGCCCTGTTGTTTGAGAGTAGCATTTTGAAAGGACTTTCAAAAAGGAAGGATGATGGGCTTGGTTCTGGTGTGCCCTATATGTATGTAATGCCTATTCTAAATCCCCAATCAAGGTAATGAAACCTTGACCGACAGTGGAAGCAGAAGATCTGTACCATGCTTAGCTTTCAAAACTGGGTTGTCAGTACCTGGACAACGTCAGCTGACACGTGATATCTCTACCTTTCCTCTTACCGTGCTTGTTGAGTCAGCAGCTCCACACCTGTGCCTACCTTCATCTAGTACCAAGTTCAACCAAGGACAATTAATTAACCACTGATGGTGGTTGAATGTTTCCTGATCAAACATTTCCCTGAATGTTACTCATCGCTTACCTGAGCCATGCTGCAGGCTGATCTGTGACTAACAGGTGACTATGTGCAGATCGCTTTGAGTTTCACAGTTTACCAAGGAGCTAATCTAGAGACAAAAAGTCAGGAAAAAAAAGTAAGACATGAGTGGTTCCCACTGGGTTATCAAGTGCTGGTCACGATAAATTTAGTATCTCCTAAACTCTGCCCTGCATGTACATATCGGTACATGTACATGTGCACTGATCGATGACGAAGTACATGTACACTCGTACATTTTGTACAGGTACATATTGCATTATTTTTGGGATAACACACATGTTGAAACGCAGGCATTGTGGGCACCAACACGTTATGTGGACTTAAAGTTTTACCCCCAGAACTAGGTCTCGGCTTTGCTAACAGATGTACATAATTGCCCCCTCAATGTGGCAGTGGCCTGAGAACCAGGCACACGTATTCTGATGAAACCTGTTCATCAGTGACACAAGTACATATAAAATACAATGGGGTGAAAGAGTCTTAAGAGGGAAGCTATTTTTAAAAGAAAAGATGAAGTCTGTGGACACACTTTTATCTTGAAATCTTGAAAGCCAGGCTTAAACAACTTACATGTAATGCTGAACATACTTTTTGTGTGTTGATAAAATAAGCTCAGCTTAATTGAACAAACGTCAAAGACTCTGCCATTCAAAACAAAGCAAAGCTTCAAAGGTCAACTGTCCTTTAGAGTCTCTAAATGTCCTGATGATATTACATGTAGGGTGTTTACAACAGTGCACAGAATGAAGGCCGATGTGGTTGTGTAAATGGTCATCACATATGTCATAAGCCAGGGAAATGACAGATGTATGAGTTACATTCGTTCACAAGAAAGTGAAAGGAAGATACATAAGTCCATGTATGTTAAATCTCTGGAAGGTTTCGAACAACGGTTACAAAACTCTGCCTTTTCAAAACAGAGATAGAGCCCTAATTGCACTCATTGTGCTTATGATGGCAGTTTATGCCGATGTAAGCACCTACAGTGTATGACCTTCATTCTATCCCACCATGCATTGTGGTAAACAATATTTTGCATCATCAGTAAGTGGGGCGACTCTTGTCATCAGTACAGCCATCTCTTACACTGAGGAAAATGCAACAGGAATAAAATGGCTCTTCTTGCAAGTATTTTCTTATGCGATACGAACAAAAACCTGTAAAGTGTTTAAGCTGGTACAAGAAAACATGTTGCACCTCTGTCCATCAACATACAGGTACACGTCCATTTTCACCGTGGAAATGGCTACTAAACTGGTATCCGTCCTCAATATCTCAAGGCAGTTCTAATGGAACCAGCAGTGTTATGTTGGATGTATTGTACTGGTATGTGGCAGACCTTCTTAGTTGATCAATACAGCCTATGTGCTACCATTTTTGGTACTGATGATGTACATGTAGCAATGGGCCATAACATCACAGGTTTGAATCCTTGTGGCGGAGTATTTTTCCTTTCATACCAGTGTCAATGTGCTATATACAGTGCAGTTACAATTTATTTTTTTAAGTCATAGTTCTGTTTACTCTACATATGGTATATTCAACAGCAGTACACGTAGGGCCTATAGTCAGAATTCCTAAAGAATGATGCAGGCTCTGCCTAGTCATGCTAACGTCTGTGACCGTATAGCCGCCAGGTCCCTCATTTTGCTACTCACTGTGAAAACTAATCTGATTTGACGAAATGATGAACCTGGCAACCGTGTGGTCAGAGAGGTCAGTCTTCCAAGTTCCATTTTTCCTTCTTGGAAATCCACCTTGAATACTGTCAGTGTTTTAGTACACGTATGACATAGATTGTGCAGGCGTACAGTCATGACAGTTTCCTATTACACAGATTTTTAAAAGAGGGTTCAGATTAACTTCTTTTTAAAGTGTTCACAGAGAAAGTCACCTTGCCATGTTTGCCCAATCCATTTCACCCCATCCCATCCTATCCCTCCCCACCTCTGCTCCATTCACAGATCAGCCCAAACACTGTGCACAGACTTGCTTTCGTTGTACCGTACTGTGTCATGCATGCTGTAAAAAAGTAAACCACGCGTGAACACGGTAAACATGGGACATTGGGCCTACGTGCGGAAAGAGTTCCATGTACAGAGGCCACTTGATGACACCCTGTGCATAAACCCTGAGACTGGTCGGAAAATTTCAAAGAGTTTTCTGTAAGCCTTATTGCTAATAGTTTCTGGATGAGTGATTTTACACACAGGTAGAAAGGCATTGTGGGATGGAAAAAGGAGCAAACACTGCTCCCTTTTCCTTCCCACAACGCCTTTCTATCACTATGCAAAATCACCCATGCTGTATTAGCAATTTCCCTCCTAAACTGAACTTTTCTGGACATGTTTTTGCTTTCTGGCAGCTAACTGGCTTTGAGTTATACATGTAGGTCACTGTATTGGTATTAATTACTGGCGTCCATATAGAACTCTTCCCCTACATAGTACAACTACAAGGCCCCAACCAGCCAACCAAAAGAGTTCCATATAGGCCTACTGTACATGTACATTGTACAGACAAATTATAACAGCCGTCAGAAAGTGATAAAATATCCTAAAAGTGAAATTTAGCTAAGAAAGTTCTGAAGCATTTACTAAGAATAGTAAGATTAAAACTCTAAGGAAGGTTTTTTCAGACATGTCTCATAGATTTGCAAAGGGGCATCGACTCAAGTGTTGTCCGTAGGCCTACATGTACATGATGTATGGAACTCTTCCTACACGTCCATTGAAAGCCAAAATTGCAGCGTTCTTTATCAATTCATCGATCATGCACCCTCCTGTAACAAGTTAACACAGTTTTATATTTGAGACTACTGACAAACAGATACTTGTAAAATGGTGTAGGCCTTTAGGCTTTTTAGGTAATGAGTTGTAAACGAGACGGGGTCGTCTAAGGCATGTCTTAATATCCAAGCACTGAATAATGACCTGCACGCAGAGCGCTGTCAGACTCATAGACATCATGTCAGATCGTCATGGATCGTGGCTAAAGGTAGCCCCACTAGTGTGGCACGGACTCTCACTCCCGGGAGTGAGAGTCCGTGCCACACTAGTGGGGCTAGGCTAAAGGCTGCAGTAAAATAATCACAAGACAAACCTTTTTCAGCACGTGTAGTCCACTGCTACTCGAAATCCTCTAAACGACGAAAGGCTCCAATCCTATCAGACATCAAGAATACATTTTCGGAGCAAGGAGTTCAGAAAAGGATAAAATTCAAGAGTAAACTCATCAGCTTATGTCCTCAACTCCGCGCCATGTTTCTTTTTGCTGTATGAACTTCCGCTTCCATAATTGGAGAAAAGAGCTTCAAATTCACACACACAAATATCCTTTTGCTTTCGACGACTGTTTCCTGAACTTTGCAAAAAAAGTGACAAGCCCAGCCTGCAGCGATAGTCGATTAATTCATCGAACTATTTTTGTCCTTTTAATTAAACGACCCTTTAAGTTTGATACTTTTGTGTCTGGACTCTTATAAACTTTCACTGCCGCAAATATGATTTCTACTTCAGAAAGAACAAAAATCATCTTTTTCTTGCAGATGAATCGTGGAGGTTCAATTACTGAATTGCCGTAGGGGAGCCGCGGATGCATATGGTATTCAGAGTTGAATTTTGAGAGGCGAAGGAAAGAGTCTCCTAATCGGCTTTCACAGTCTTATTTATGAACAGTATTAACCCCGTTTTTGGAGAGGGTGTGCTGAAGGCCCCCGGATGGGCCCATAGTTGTACACTGTATATACAGCGTTTGTCTGTACAGCACCTGAATATGAAAAACACAGAATTTCCTTCAAGACTCCTCAAGACCAAGCATGTAGCGTTCGCACGTGCGCTTGCACGTGGTTGAAGCTGCCCGTAGGAATACTATACGATCACCGTGGCCGGCCAAGGCGGTCCCACACGTGGTGGTATTGTTTTCATCTAGTCACGTGGGTGAAAAAGGTCAATAGCCGGACATGATGCTTCAAACTGGTTGTGGGCATAATCGAAGACGGGTTCGACAGCACATTGCACGAGGGAAGACACATCGATTCCCAAATACTATTCCAAATTTATTTTAAAATGCAAATATATACACATTACTTCCAACTAAAAATCTGAGAAGAGATTTTAAAAAAAAGCTTGTATATAAAAATAAGTTTGAAAGAATCACTAAAATTTTGCTATGATTATTGCAATTGAACTTACTTGCAAGCATGCTGAAAGACTTCAACTGTATATGAACTTCAACTGTGCAGAAATCATGGGTTGAATATAATGTGAATACAATGCAATGAATTGTCATATAAAATGCATAATTTGTGCTCTCTTGCACAGACTCAAACCTGAGTCATTCATGATTTGATTACTTGTTAAATTCAATGATAATTTGAATAAAAAATACTTATCCAATGCATAATTCTATCAAAATTACTTTCACAGTTGATCACTACACTTTTGACAAAGTAACATATCATTTAAAGACTGTACTTTCCAGTGTTATTAAGTACTTTTCCATGATAGCCAACTAAGAATGCTTCCTGCAATGAATACCAACAAGAGCAAGAGTGCAATAACGTGTTGTAACCTACGCTGGCTTTTGCAATTAGTCACAAATATGGAAAAACAAGCATTTGGCAAACAACTCCTGTCTTAAATTCTGTTTGTATTTTTTCCTAGAAACTGTGTTAGATAAATGTAAAATGTCTGGTTTCAATGACCATTATTGATAGTATGTGGCAGGATAGGTACAACTTAAGGAAATAAATGGATATTTAAGTAATGAATGAATGTCACCACTCTAGTACCCAAACATATAAACCTGAAGGTCGATCCAAGTGCCTCTCCTAATTGGTCTTTTTTTCAACGTTTCAATGGTATCCAATAAAATACTAAAGTAAGGTTCTTTGAATATCACTATGCAAATTACATATTATGCTTAATAAATAAACAAAATGAACCATATTGCCAATTCGTCTCCATGTATTAATAGTTGAAAGCATTACAAATTTTATCATTTATTATGGCTGTGATAAGCCAAGTCACTTTTCTACTTTGTTAATGGCACACAGAATAAATCAGATTCTCTTGTTGATATATAAGATTCAAAATGGAACACGTAGATTTTACAGTAAAATTGGACCTCCCCTAAAACAATGAAGCTTCATTACCTGTACCACATGCAGCATATCTAAAAAATAATGTCTAAGAAAAAGCAACTACCAGGATGTCTCACTTGTCTCTCTTTACAAATAGACTAAAATAGGGGGCCCCTCTACGGGCTATTTTCCCACAACTTGTGTGGCACTGCATAAAAGTTCTCTATTTTTAAAAAGAAGTTTTACTTTAAGTGCTTGTCTTATGTTTAAAATGCTACTGAAAAATAAACCACGATAAGTATTCTCCTTAGGAGCTCCTTTGATGCTTGAATGACAAATGCTCAAAACCAGAACTCCTTTAAAAACGTTTCTCTGAATTTGTCTTTGTAGAAGTACAGATATGTACAATATTTATGCAAACAACATACAACAACAGTGAGCTGAACTCACTGTACCAAGTAACCCTATTCCATACCAAAATAAACATGAAATCTACAGGCAGATGAAAAACAGTTACACAGCACTGATGGTTAACATATGCACCGAAAGTTTACAAAAGATTTCAACCTGGGTAAAAGTTTCTTGTGGGTGTTCTAAGACACGCAATTGCTTTTTCCAATTCACCTGTGAGATGAACAAGCATTTAAATACTACTGTTACTATGTACTGTCTCAAGAGTTTCTCCCCCATAACAGTGAGATACGGCAATAATGCTACTGCAATCAACCTCCACAATGATTCGTATACGACACAGTGAGCCCCACTACTTGAGTGCCATTCTGACACTTCATACCCAGGAGTGTGAGTGGCCACTTAAAATTAAAGCTGAAAACAGCTAGTAACAAGTTGAAATGTAAGAAGGCCCCATACATTTGTACACAGCAGGTGCAAAAAATAACCTGAAATTGAGGGTCAACATCTAAACAAAAAGCTGAAATCAGCTAAAAAGCTGAACTTTCACACCTCTGATACCACAGACTGTGGCTCATTAAACAAAACCCAACCAAACGTTGTAGCATGCTTTAAAGGCTGAGGCCAGAAATTTGTCCCCCATATGCCCCAATGGAACCTTAACTGACAGGATTAGTTTAAAAGTAAAATCATTTATTTTTACCTAAAATGGTACCATAAAAGTTACACGATACATTGTTGCACAAGTCACTGACTTATGCGGTGCTTAACTTTCATGAAATGTGTCCTGAATAGTTGTGAGCCACTCATGCAATCAAACGCGGCATGAGTGAAGTTACACCACTGCCTAAAGTTGAATGAAAATTGCCTGCTGAAGTCGTAAGTTATTCAAGTGAAAGCTATAAAATGAGTTAAAAAGCACTCAGAAAATATTTTTACGCAGGATACGCTCGTCAAAAAAATAATAGACATCCTATGACAAAATATATGAGCCATTAAAGTTTACATTTTGTGCAACATTGAAATTATAAGAGATCTTCATTTTCTGTCATTGTCACAAGATACGCTTTCATGTTGCCATTTCTAAAAACTATCTGCTTCACATTACACTCCAACATCTGACCAACCTTCACCCCAATTCAACCTCATCCATTTCAGTCAAACCTATTAGAGTTAAGTACATCTCTAGAGTGATTGATAACGTTCTCTAAAGAATACTTCATTACCTTAAAAACATTCCAAACCTAGAGTTTACGGTGTAGTTGATCTCAAGAATGTCAATATTCTGCAAAGAATACTTCATTGCCTTAAATGCATCCGTCAGTTTTGTTAAATGCAAAAAATAGTCAAGAAAATAGTCAAAAAAAGTCAAAAACCCAATCTTGCAGCAACAAACCAGCACTTACTGACTACTTATGACCACACGCAAGTGAATTACATCATTTAGGCATCCAAAGATCACACTGAGCCAATGTAGATACATGTAGCTTCCAGGCACGCAATACCTATTTATCCGTACTGGCACGGCGTTGGCCAGGCTTGTTTTCCCTCATCGCAGAGCGTCTGGCACTATTGCGGGACATTTTACTGATCATAGGGGCCTGCATAAGAGACACAGATACAAACAATCGTTATTATCAAGCATTTGAAAACTTGTGAAATAAAAGAGGGAAACTGGTGAATGGTGGAAACAAATCCATTGATTTTCAGCCTCTCTCTCTCACAAACTCTCCCAGGAATGCACTACAGTTCCATCATCTTCTGGTTGTCCTTTCACACATAATAACCCAAACCAATCTGTGATAAATGAAGTGCAATTTTTTTGGTGGTGTTAGCTGACGTTGAAGTGAGTCATTTCCTTCTCAGCAAACGGACGCAATTTCACTTGAAAATACACCAATCTTACTACACAATGCCAGTATCATTAAACACGGCACACGTTAAAACTCAGAAGGGACGGCATGCAATCTCCGCAACCTGAGGGGAACACACTGGCACAGTTTATCAAATGAATTCGAACTGATAATCATTAGGGCTGTCAATGTGATTGAACAGTAACCACTTGTTTCTCCTGAGACTAAGGCTGCGCCCGAATCTCTCGTCTAGAGCTAGGTCTAGGTCTTCGCTCCATTGGAAATGCGTGGGGACGCGTAGACGATAGACCTAGCCGTAGCTCTGGAATGCATTAAATTAAATGCATAAAATTGGCAATCAGAATTGGAAGCTGATCCTGCCACAGCACAAAATTCACGGACAGGTGGTATGCCAGCATTACATGTCACCTTGACCAACAGAGTGTCGTGATTTGCCAAACGCGCGTGGGTCAAGTCCAAAAATGCCCGTGTTCGTGCAGTGCCACCGCAGTTATGGCATCTCCTTGGATAAGCCCACAGCATAAACTTTGTAACTATTGATAACTAGTGTAATTAGTGTAATGATCAGCTCTGATGCCAACATTGCCACTGGAGCACCAAAGCAATTTCTTTGTTTGCATCAAATATGTTTGATGTTAGAGTCCAACATAACAGATAAAGGAAGGTTAGATCCTGCATACCTTATATGCCAGAGGCTCCTTAGCGATTCTTTGGCGTATAGGGTTTGGCAGGCGGAGCGCGAACAGCAGGGAAAGAATCGCTTGTGTCCTCTTCAGGTGGGGCAGGGGGCGGTGGGCGTGATAAGCGATAAGCTCCAGAATATAGGCGCTCGGGCAGAGGTGGGGGCACTTCGTCAAGGCTGTTAGTGCGACTAAGCTGTAGACAACAGGCAGACAGACAGACAGGGGAGCACAGACAAATCAGGGGGTGGGCAACGGGGGTGACAGACACAGTGAGATAATAAGGGAAAATAGTAAAACACAAGTTAGAATGGGAATTCCGCAAATTGAGCCAAAAATTTCAAATGTAAAGCCCACAAATTACATACTTGTGCCTCATATTCAGCATATTTCAATTTTTTTTAAAAGATTTTTCAGGAACATAGTTTCTTTACAACTAACGCACTGAGTACATAAAATCTCCTTATGAATTTAACTGTGGACAACCTCAAAAACTGGGGGGGGGTTGACCATTTAATCTGTTTTGCAAATTTCTGCAACTGCTCAGACACTACGGCAGAGGCAAAAGTGCCCTCTGTCCCTGCTGTTGATTCCTGTTATCATGCAGAAAAAGGAATGTTAGTGTGAAACAAACGTGAGTCAAAGCCAACCAAGAAAGTGCGATGCGAAGAGAAATATTTATAGCGTTCACAGACAGGAATAAGACAGCTGGCATATCCATTTTGAAGAGATGATCAAAATGTTAGAAAACAGAAAAATTAAGACAATCTACTAGGTGATTCATGCACCTTTGATTTAGAAATTTACAATCCCACAAAAAAACAGCACAATGTTAATATACAGATGCTAGTAAATTAGTCACTTGAATTTACTTTGTTAGTGCATTCAGGCTACAGAAGTAAAGCAATGTTAAGCCGAGTCCATGTCAAATAACCCAAATTAACGTGTTATCATGCTTCAACCAAAGTTGCTGTTAGGACAAAATATTTTCAAAATGTTGGGTTTGGTCGCATAATGCCTGAGTACTGTTGTTCTGGACGCTGAAGTTATTGCATAACTGTGAGAGTACAATTTGTTGTATTTAGTTCAAAATCCAACATTAAAACAGTTACTAATAGTCAAACGTCAGAACATTTTCCAAACAAAGCTCAATGATTGGCAGTAAAATTTCATGACTCAAGCAGTACTCAACCAACACATGGTCAAAAGGTTCACAAATTAGAAATGTCTTGTGATTCACGGACAAACTTAGAAGTAGTTCACCAATGCAAACTTTTCTAATATCCTTAACTTCTCTCTTCAACAACTTCCCACCAAACTTGCTCACAGAATCTTAGAACGCTTGTACATCATCAGCCACTCCACACTTCAAACTCCATACTTTGAAAACTGAACTAATAGGTTTTGTGAATGAAAGGCTTTTCTTCCTTGGGGTTTTCGTCATCATATTTCATAACAGGACATTCCTTCGTTAAAAATCAAATCTGAAGAATCATAAAATGTTATACAAGAAGAAAAACACAGAGGGGTAAAAGTAAGGAAGCATTGTGTAGTTCTTACGCAGAAATGGTAAGTATAGATGCACTTGTGCGAGAATTTCACACTAATACAAAGTGTGAGTATGGTTTGGCTGCCATCTGAACGTTAACAGAGATGAACGATTTTCGAAATCATAACACTGTATTACTAAGGATCGGGTTGTAAAACTTTGAAAGGTATCATTGAGCCTTAGGAAAAGATATGAAGTAAAAGTCTCATGGAGGGTTAGAAATCAGGAATGTGTTTCTTGTAGTTCTTTGCCATTGTGGCAATAATATAAATAAAATGAAATGTTTACTTGTAGTTCAATTGCCTTAAAATGGAAAATAGAATGCAGCATCACTACAGCCGAATACTATGCCGATACACGATGCAATATAGCATCACAGTTTGCAGAAAGATATACATGTAAGCTTTGCATTCTTCACACTTGATCTGTCAATCTGTGCCAGCAGTAATCATGTATGTGGATGCTGCTTCAAGAAAGGACAGTGGCCGGCTTGTAACAATTTGTATACTGGCTACTGCTCTCTTTTAATTTGGGAACACTCCCGTTTTCTCAGCACAAAAAATGTGATTCCAGTCCCATCAATGAGACAAATGGTCCCTTTCAGCGGCAGTTCCAATGGCTAGATAGGGCGGAACGGCAAAGTTGACCTGCCGTTCTGTTTTAATGGTTGTCTGAGGGTGAGACTCAGAAATCTGTGGGCAAAGTCTTAGTCCTGAGGTCTTCCCGCTTCCGTGTTTTCAGATTCTCCTTGCATACCTCCTTTCCGTTGGTAGCATCAAGGTAGAGATAAGACGCCTCACTGACCGGACGCTCTAGCCTTCTGGAGGAACCTGTAGAGGGCGCTAAGCTGTATCCATCAGGGGAATACACGGCCTGAGGGGGGAAAAACAATCAAAGAAGAGTGCAAATGACTTCATCAATTCAGCCTGATAATACATAATCTTAATGGCAAAATACAAGAATGATTGCCACCATGCCAGCATCCAAATCAGGCTCATTTAAGACTTATTCTCAGAGGTCTGATCTGAAGAGAATCAGACTGATTCATAATCAAGAAAACAGGAGGGAAATGAGAAATTCAGACGGACCTATTATGACAATGTTCCAAAATGCAATCCAACTGCGCAGAGAAATTCAAGGTGTACAGCGCATTCAATCATCACCAATCTCCTCAAAGCTCATGAATGACTCTTAGTAAATAGCTTTTTGTGGTAATATAATACTGCTTAAAATGTGGGGCCTTTTAATTTTGGAGGAAGATTATTCAAAAGCCAATCAATACATATACAATACTTATGAACTTTAAATGCCAATAACAACAACAAGGTGTTATCACTAAGCTCAAAAGAATGACTTCCAGAGGTGGTAACAAGTCAATTTTTGCAAGTCCAAGTCAAGTCACAAGTCATTTGATCACAGGTCAAGTCAAAAGTCAAGTCATAAGTCATTTGATCACAGGTCAAGTCAAGTCACAAATCAATTTGGTCCAAGCACAAGCAAATTACAAGTCATTTGGTCCAGTCACATGTCAAGTCAAAAGTCATTTGGTTAGAGGTCAAGTCAAGTCATGTCCGCAAGCCAATTTGGTCCGAACACAAGCAAGTCATAAGTCTTTTTGTCCAAGTACAAGTCAAGTCACGTGATGTATGATTTCAAGCCACAGCCAAGTGACTCAGACGTGGCCTTGGACAGACAAGACTGAAGTAGAAGTCAAGAGCTGAATGAAGTCTTATGCTGAATATTTTAAGGACGCAAGGCATAAGCTGATAGGCTTAATTTAAACCTATTATGGGTTCAATTGAGTAGCATTCCGACTTGCATTGGTAACAAGTCATACTGTGCAAGTCCACGTCAAGTCACAAGTCAACAACTGATAGTTACAAGTCAAGCCACGAGACACAAAAATAGCAACTCGAATCCAAGTCAAATGACTCCAGTCTACAATTCTGATGACTTCATCTTTAAAGCCGAAGAAACTAGGGTTTACTCTCTTCTCTACATTCAAAGCTGACAGTTCTCCTCAACACAATCACAGGTGATTAGACGGAATGTCTTGCATTACCTCTTCTTCCTGGTCCATCCCCTTCTCTTTCATTTTCCTGACGAGTGATGAGGGGACGCCGGATGCACGCTTGTTTTTCTTGTCAGCCAGGAGTTCGGAGTAATCAAGCTCATTCTCTGCCTGCAAACAGCAATGAAAGTGTAAAGCAAAAACACTAAGCAGATTTTAGGACTGAGGTTGCCTTCAAAATTCAAGGAACAGCATTGAAACTCTGGGCTTTCGCTCAGCTTGTGGAAACAAAAATTTCACAAGCCTTTGTGAGTGAAGCGTCAACCTGCCCCTCTCTGATTCAACAGAGACTGCACAAGCAAGCTTATAAATGGTTGCTAAGGTAACAAACGAGGCATGTGATGGAGCAAGACGTCGTGGTTAGTAATTTTAGAGTATCCATTTTTTCATGTTTTAGTCCTGTAATGTTCCACACAGCAAAAGCAATGATGTTAAAAGAACACTGGGACGGTTGTGAATGAACACTGTGAGGTGTCGGATGAACACTGGGTGGTGTTGAATTAACACCATGCAGTGTTGAATTGATAACGTATGGTGTTGAATTAATAGCACATACTTTCTATATAGTACTACCGGTAATGGTCCTGCACAGTTGCTATGCAATATACAACAGCACAATTTGGGGATACATTTTTGTTCTCTTCCATGTACTTCTCCGGCTCTTTTCAAAGTGGGAACTATTGTGAAGCTGGTGATTATGATGCTAATTCGGTCTTTTCATTTCTGGGCAACACAAAAAGACCAATTACCATATATAAAAGAGCCAGGGTATGCCTTCTTTCACCGTGTTTGCAGGAGCGTGGGCCGAGAATAATAGCTTGAAAAGCGGGCTGAGGATCTAAATTTTTACGGTGTGTCTAGCCGCCTCCCGGCTCGAAGGGGTTAAGGGAAGTCTATGATATATCTTTGTAGATTCACAGGCATGTGCTTTACAAAATGGATTTTCACTGATAAGAAAGCAGAGAACTACTGTGATGATAAAGAATAATTTTGATAATGACTGCAATGCATTCATGGTTCTTACTTGGCCGCATGCTTGTTTCAGAACATCTCCAAATGGTGAAATCGGTTTCTGTGGAAAAAAAAAATACCATAAAAAGAATTCAGAAGAAAAGCCATGAAGTGAAATGAACTTTTTGACAAATTAGACACTTCCCAAAAGAAAAACCGTAACATTTACATTCAGGAAATCTCTGAAGAATTTATTTGTTACTTCATATATAAAACAGACAAAAACTGAACTCATCCAAAATATGGGAAATCATATCAATTTCCCTTCAAAAATCATACCGGTAACTATTTTAGCAATGCTTCATTGAAAGCTATTGACTTATTGTAAAAACTTGTCTTCAGTATGATACCTGGGTAACAGGGTAACTGTTTGCACTATGAATTGGCACTTTCATATAGAATGCAGAACTAAAACCAATAAGGATCTCTAGGACTAGTGTCGGGATGGAGAACTTTCTTCAGTTGATTGAGCAACAAAAAACCTCCTGACCAATCTACTTCGTACCACTTTGTAAAATTTCACCAGCTCCTGGAGGTTCTTGAAGACTGGCATCTCACCGACGACGAGGTATTTACCGGTGGGAGTGAGGTCAATCATGAAATGCTTGCACCGAGATTCCGCCCTACAAAAGATGTGACAATAAAAAAACTCCATCCTTTCCATCTGGAAAACGAACATTTCTCATGCAACAATCACGGGGAAATATATTGGTACAAATTTCAAATGAACGTGACTTGACGTCACTTGTCAACTTTTGCTACGGCTCTGTTCATTATATTTTTTATTATTTAGCACTTTTGGGGGGGACAGACAAAAGTTTTGTGGGGCTGGAGCCACCTAGCCCAACCCCCCCAGCCCCCCATCAAAGTGCGGCATCTAAATTCTCAGTTTTTATGTACTTGTATCACCCATTTCTGCATCCTCGTGAAAATGAACAATATATCGTATATAATATATATATTCAAAGGCCTTTCACTCAACAATTGCTCTGACAACGTATGACTCATTTTGTTAGATTGGGTCGCATATAAAAGTACTCATAAACTAATGACGGATTGGTCATGACGGACTCACTTGAGAGACAGGGAGTAACCAAACCGACTCTCACTGACACGAATCAGAAAAGCACCGACTGGCTGGTGTTCCAGTAACTCTTCAGCTCGCCTGCAGAGAGAAATAGATCATTCAAAGGAGGCAATAAACACTTAGGTAACAAAGGTACATCTGAACTTGTAACATAAATCACAATACGGGCGTTTCACAATAAAGTGCCTCCAAGCGTTTGCAACGTGTTGCCCAATCACAATGCACATAATTTGTCAACCTAATGCACGTGTTTGGAAGGGGTCGACAGATTTTGCGCACTGTGATTGGCCAACACGTTGCATACTCTTGGAGGCACACTATTGTGAATCCCTCGCATTACAGAATTGGCAATTGCTTGGACTCTTTTAAACACACCCCCAATAAAGCAGTGGAATCAACCTCGTCAAACTCCCCTCCAGCTGATGGAAGAATGGTGATCGCTCCTTCTCTGATTTTGTTTCCAATTTTAAACTCTGTATGCCTGCATCTAAAGTATTGTCACAAAGTGGAGCTAAAAATTGCAGTAAAAGTCATGGAGCATTTTGTAACCCAAACTGAAGTTGTGAATATTTCAAGACGGAGAGAATGGATCACCTTCTTGTGATGATGCCGTGGAACCACTTGGCAAAGGTCCCTGTCTGATCCCGCACTGCCATAGACTGCGTGGCCTTGAACCAGTGAATGGATGCCTGTCTGGTGCCTTCTTTGCCAAAGAGGTTATTCCTGATGCGGACGAACTCATCTTCAATGATCTCTTCATCCTCGTCATCATCACCATCTTCTTCCTCCTCGGAGGACACCTGTTACCAACAAGGAATGGAAACTGACATTGTTCATGGGTCGGCCATATTGAATAGAAAGTGAGGTTAACTTGTTTTGTTTTGGCAAACTAAGAACAAAAATGAAAGCAATGAAATAAAAGTTCCTTGAAATTACCTTGGTATACAATGATGAATAATTTAAAACTTGTGACTTATATCTAAAGGTTTTAAGCTAGATTATAAAACAGATGAAAGCGAAGCATGGAACCCCAAATAGTCTGGCACCACCCCATTTACATGAATACCAGATTACACTGAATAAGATGGGAATGCAATCAAAATGGCTTCAACGTGAATAAGGTCTAGCAGACACTATTCCAGACTTCCATAATATCTGACAGCCAGTGAAATTCCTTTAACCCTAACCCCCTAGGGGTAGGATTTGGGACAGTTAGGGTTAACCCTAACAGTCCCAAATCCTACAATTTCAATGCAATTTTTTAATAGAGAAACAAAGACCCAAGGTTACATTTTTATTACCCTGCGAATAACAGTTAACCTTGTAATAAGAAATTCTCTCCACACCTTTTCCCTTCCCGGGGAATTCATTTTCATTTCAAAAATCATGACAAATTTTTCAACAGTTTTCAAACAAGTGGGTACAGATTCTCATGCCTTTCCACACAAGTGAAAAAATATTTTCACACCTTTCCACACACAGGGAAACATTTCTGCATTTTTTAAACACAAATGGGAAAACATTTCCACATTTTTCACACAAGTGGGAACACATTTTTACACCATGTGAAATGTAAATGACAGCGGGAATTCTTTTCCCAAATGATCCCACTCCCATTCACAGTGTTAACTTTTAATCACAATGTACTTTAGTTATTGAACAACAAATGAATCATTCACGTTGGATGGTAAACAGAAAAGCGGCTATTTCAGGCTGAAAATCTTGTTCTGCTTTCCCGCACCTCAAGGGGCACAGATGACCTCGATGAGTAGATGATGCACTTCTTGCGCCTTGGACAATTTGAGGTTTTTTCAGGCCAATCATGCAAAGATGAGACTTTATTTTGACACAATCTGTAACAAGTTAACTGTGCTACTGAAATGTGGTCTCTCCAACGTAAATACTTTGGTTACACACTACAAATGTGAGTTCCACAAATTTCTCCTATGTGGTGACCTGTTCTCAATTCCTACCTTGTCCTCTTTTTTGTTGGTGCCTTGCTGAACCTGAATGGAGGGAGCCTCAATCTTAATCACCTTGTCTCCTTTGCGAATGGATTCAAAGAAGGCTGCGAAGAACCAATACATGTGACAATGATTCTGGAAGTTAGATCCAATTCTGAATTCAACAAGATTCTGCATAATTTTACTGGGTCCGTTATAAGGCTGAATAATTAAATACTTGAATAATGTGAATTCCAATCCATCAAATACTTGAATGTTCAGTAGCACCAAATTCCCACAAAAGCCAACCCCCCCCCAAAAAAAAACATCATGATTGTGTAATGGTCTATCTTGCAGAGTTAAAAGTTTAAGTACTGAAATATTAGTCCAATCAATCAATGTTCAGTCCTAACCGGTGAATTATTCCTTTAGTCCAAGCCAGATCACGTCACAAAAGTAAAGAAGAAAAACTGTACGGCAAAGTTAATTTTCAGGTGTATAACTGTTCTGTGCTCCAGCTACCTTTGATAAGTTTACTCCTAACATCTTGAAATATGCTTTTACAATGCAATCTTGAAACCAAATAATTGAATTTTCTGTTTTTGAGGTCATGAGAACAGAAG